AAAATTCACTCTGTTTTGAATGCTTGATTAGCTGAGTGGTAACTTGGAAATGATTTATAACCTGATATTTTAACATTATCATTGCTTAAGTATATCCAGATTTGATTGGATGAATTCCTAATCAATTAGGGATCTAACTTAGTTGATCAGTATTTATATAAGCTGAAAATCAAATTACATGCCATACAATTTTTTTTGTGATCCTTGATTTGCTGATTCACTGATAAACCACTGGATTAACAACCCATGTGAGATATTTGAACCTAAACACTCTATTCATTTGTGAGTGGTCATTGTGCATTGGTGCTTTGAATACTGCACTCTGTTTGGATGACTAATATGTTATTTCTGTGTGATTGGGGCATTGTTTCTGAATGTATAGCTTAGAGCCTAAAGCCTTACCCTTTGATTATATCCCTTGGTCCCTATATTTGAGCCTGAGGCCTTTCTTTTCTGATCATGTACCCTGATATTATGAGCCAATTTCCTTGTCCACCCTGTATAGCTGTTTTAGTATTTAGCTACTTCTCATTAGCTCAGAAATACAATAAGCTAAATGAGGCAAAGGGGAATTGGTTGTAACAAAAAAAAGAAAGATTAGAAAAAGAGAAGAAGGAAAGGGGATCAGGAGGTAAAAGAAAATCGAAAAACAAGGGGGACACAGTGATTTTATAAAAAGAGTTCTCTGTTCTGTTTTCAAAAAAAAAGAAAAAAGAAAAAGAAAGAAGAAAAAAAAGAAAGGAGATCTCTGAGCTTGAATCTTTGTAAAAAAAAGGAAAGAGGCAGGAAAAAGGTTGAACAAAAAGGGAAAGAGAGTTACTAATTTCCCTTTGTCTTGTTTAGGCAAAAATCAGAAAGAGCTAATGAGGACTAGTTAGACACTAAGGGTTAGCTTAATTAGCCAAGTGACTAGAAAAACAAAGATCCTAGCCCTGCCTCATTACAAGCCTTAAAGACCCTTTGATGGAGATAGCATATTGGACTTCAAGTTTCTAAATGGTAGTGTAGGTTGAAAGTATTCATGCATAATGACAATGAGTGACCTCCCTTATAAACAGGAGAGAGTATGAATGATTGAATGTATCTGGCAAGGAATTCAGTGGAATTTCAATTGAATCATTTTAAGTTAAGGGTTGCAACTAAATGAATGAGCATGAATTTTTGATTGAATGTTTATGTAATTGCTGATTGACTGGAGTTGGGTGATTAATTGGTTGTAGGAATTGGTTGACATTAAACCTGGTCAAAGCTTTAAGAAGAGTGATGTTTTGCACGGATGACTGATTTAATTTAACTAAGTTATTGTAATCATATATGTGTTGATATCTAACTTATGAGTGAAGTTTGTCTGATTACTTGAGGGCAAGTAATTAATTAAGTTTGGGGTATTTTGTTAGCTATCAATTATGACTATTTTTAATGGCTTAGTTTTTATAATATTTGAGGTGAAGGCTGGATATTAGTGCATGGTAATGGGCCAAATGAGTACCAATCAGCCCAAAGGTAAAAAAAAAAAAGAGATAGAGGTAATTTGATGATTTACTATTCTCTTTTGTTATTTTTACTGCAGTTTGAAAGCAAGATCAACTTTTTGAAAGCAAGATCAAATCTGAACCATTGGATGGACAAAGAGATGGATGGACAGCAATGCATTTTGAGGCAGCTTTTTAGTTTTTAGTTAAATAGAAGTCTGAGTCATTTTAGGGTCATAGACCGTACTTGTTAGTTTCAGTTTTACGTTTAGAATTTTGTATTTTCTCTCTTCGAATCTGAGTGTTTGTCTTGAAAGCTGGTGCATGTTCTTCAATTCTTGATCTCGAAGTGCATTGACAATGCAACTTCAAGGAAAGGAACCACAGATCTGCATACGAGCTACTGTTTTCACATTTCTGATCTTTTTCTTCCTAGCTCTAGTTTAGTAACTTTGACTCTTTAAGAACCGGTTTGTAACTTTACCTTGAGTTTTCTTTCATGAATGTTTGTGATGCATGTTTCTTTACTTTTAGATTTGTAATATTTTTGAATATGAGATGAGATAACAAATAGTATGCATGAAATATAAACTAAAAAAAAGTGTCTACCGTTGAGATGAGATCATGAGACCATTAGTGTTTATCACCACTTAATTTCATGAGATCATTATAAAATGCAACTAAATTACATAAACGAACTGCATTGATTTAAAATACCTTATTATTTTCACCTTACTTTTAATCATATTCATCATAAAATATGAATATGATTTAATTCAAGAGTTCTTATCAACAAAAAAAAATTACCAAAAAAGAAAAGAAAAGGAATAACCGGTCTAACCCGGGTCGACCGGGTCGCTGGGTTTCAGCCGGGTCAACTGGTCCAATTCGGGTTGACTGCAGAAGCAGTCTAACTTCCCGCTCGGACCGGGGAACCCACCGGGTCACCGAGTCCCGGGTCGACCCGGCCGGTCCAAGCCGAGTTTTAAAACACTGCCCCTACTCATAACTAGGGGTGAAAGTGGACTCGGTTCCGAAAAGCCCAAGCCTACACCAAAAAATTTTAGTTTGGCCTGCCCAAGCCTATTACGAGTCTAATTGTTAGACTGACTTGGCCCGTTTATAAAAAAGCAAATGGCCTGGCCTAGCCCGTTAGCCTGTTAATTTTTAACTTCCAAGCAGAACCATGAATCAACTTTACAAAATACTCAAATTCTATTGTTAAACCAAAAATCATAATTTCAACGTCCAAACAGAATCATGAATCACAACAAAACTCATACAATCTGCATTTAAGTCATTTTAAAAAACAAAATGCTCAAACTAAGTAACATATATTTCATCAGATCCAACAAACAAATCTATATTAGTAAATTAAAATAACTACATGAATCAAACAAACACATCATGATGCTTGTAGTAAGTATAACCTCTACCAAAAATCTTTTAACATATTCATATACACAATCTAACATCTTGAGATGTTGGTTCCTCCTATATAAGAAATAAAGTCAGATTTCTATTAAAATATAATCGAATATAATTAAGTTATAAATAATTGCAATTGATTAAATTTATATCTTTTGTTTTTTTTCTTCAAGGCATACTTATTCTATTTTATTTTATTTAAAATAAATAGTACAATATAGGTCGGCCTGTAGACTTATAGGCCAGACCTTGTGAAAGTGAACCTACGACCTTTTTATTAAACAGACTTTTTCAAGACCCAAGCCCGACCTATTTTACGAAATATATTAAGCTAGGTCTAACCTGACCTAGACCGAGTCGTGAATCCCCGTAAGCCGACCGAGTCCAGTTTCACCCCTGCGCGTAACCACACTCAATAAACTAAATCCTGCTAAAACCATGCTGCGCCCTTTACTCATTATACCGCAACATTGTAAGGTCCTATACAAAAGCAAAACTCTGCCAACACGCTACCTGTAGAGGGATAAATTCTACTTCCTAGAGTAGAGACTCGCATGGCCCACAGGCCCACACTAACTTTGTACACCTATCTACTAAGGCTCTTGCCCTTAATTACGAGCGAGCGAAGTTACGCAAAAAATAAAATAAAAATTGTACGGAGCTAAGGTGAGATAAAGAGAGAAAAGATTGAAGAGAGAGAGAAAAAAAAAATTTGGCCCAAGTGTCAATATTTTAGTAGCAGGACCACGATAGTAGAGGACCGTAATAAAAAATTCCCTTGGATACACGCTTTTCTTTGACATAAACTCTTCTGACTCATATATTGACTTGAACGTGGGAGTTTTTGCAGGAGCACATCGCCCATTGCCCGCCAGACATATATCTAAGGGAGTGTTTGATATTGGAAAATTTTTTATTTGTTCGGGAATCTCAATTTTTAAAAATATGATTTTTACATTCAGTTTATGATAATATTTAAAAATTTAAAAATTTAAAAATTTCAATTTTTCGGGAATCCAGAAAAAATTCATGTACCAAACCACCCCTGAAAACATAACAATAAGAATATGTTAAAATCCACCAAAAACAAAAAATATAAGGATATGTTAGAAACATGTTAAAGGTGACGACAAGACTGACTCATAGTGAAGATTGGGAGATAGACTACAATGACCAAACCAAGATATTTCAATTTGTTTCTTTCGTTTTAAATTATAATAAACGAAAATGGTTAATTTAGTTGCTTTTAATTTTCACTCACGAACACCTTTGCAGTTTTCATGTTTTTTCATCAAACAAAGCAAGCCCTTTCAAAAGCAAATTCAACTCAGCATTGTGATGTAAGAAGAACTGATGCACTGATTGTTTAACAAAAAAAAAAATCACCCTTTTATTAATTGAGTGCAGGAATGCATTTACATCAAATGGAACCTTTTATCTCAAGATCTGTAATTACCAAGAAAATTTAATGTAAACCTTTTTTCTTTTCAAATGCAGAAGCAAAGTAAAATTTATTCTGTTCATACTCAAAAGCAAAAGCCTTTTAACAGATAAAGAAGCAATGTCCTCATTACCCACTGACATGTCCTCTTTTCCTTTTTCTCAACCTTTTCCATTTTTTCTTTGTTATGCCTGTAAGTTATGGCAATGGAAAACAGATAGAAGCCCGAGAACAACCCAATCTCAAAGTGGGTCCACATTTTCTTTGTTCACATACTTTTATCCCCCAGAGTCTACACAGAGTCCAAATAAGTGTTGATTATCAGACCTCAAATTAAGCATCTATCTATGTGTTGAATTGATGGAAACCCATTTCTATTCCCATTTCAGCTTGCCAGAAAAGAAGAAGGTCCAAAACATTAGTGGGACCCACACAACGTGAAAAACCATTATACTTTTAGGCCAAGAAATCTTTTATCATCAGTTAAGCAAAAATAAAGTGAGGGAAAAACTCGTTTTCACATTATATATGTCACTCCTTTTCAGTTTCATTTCACTTTCTTCACCTTTTTTCTTATCCTATATATACATATATATATATATACATAAAAGGAATCCTCCTCCTCCTCAATCCCTCACCTTCAAGACTTAACACATAGAAAGACCAATATGGTTCTCATGGCTTTGATGCGTTTTGCTGCTTTGACCCTCTTTCTCTTTGCCTTAGCAACTGTGCCTCATCAAGCACACACTTTAAATCGTGACTCCTTTGGCAGAAAACATGTTGATGCTTACCCTCCACCAGTGGTTGATGGTATATGCGCCTCTTCTGTCATTGTTTATGGATACAAATGCCAAGAACTTGAGGTAAGAGCTTTAAACAGATACACAAAGAAAAAAAAAATTAGTCCTTAGACACGGTGCTACATTCACTTGAATTATAACACATGATTACACAAGTTAACATGTGCATGTGTGATGTGTTATATAATTAAAATAGGTGTACAATTGAGTCTAACTAATTTTTTTATTTTATTTACACAGCAATTTAGTTAAATGTTTGGTGCGAATCTTTTTCAGGTTACAACCAAAGATGGGTACATTCTGAGCCTGCAAAGGATTCAAGAAGGTCGAGTTGAAGTTAGTGGAAGTGGGACTAAGAAGCAGCCAGTGATAATACAGCACGGAGTACTAGTGGTAAGTGGGAAATTATAGCAATGCATGCACCCATTCCCCCACTCTCAATTATGCTTTATTATTGCTCAGAGAATTAGATATTAGTGTCACACTGTGTGGTAGCTTCTAGCATGAGAAGAGGAAAAATATCTACCACCCAGAAATATCCTTATTGTTTGAGGGGTAACGTAATTTCTGCATTCAATATTTTTAAAAAAAATTAAACTAGTGTTACTTTCTTTTTTTCTTTTTTCCCGCTCTCTTCTCTCTTTATCTAAAAATCGTTATTAAAAAGTGTATAAATTTTAAGTTATAGATGTATAAAAGTAGCTATTCGTGATTGAGTGTAAACCTGACTCTGTTGTTGACAAGGTGACAAAAAGGGTGGATTTCCGCGTCTGTTACATTATGGCGCTAGAGTCGCTTTCTTTCTTTCTTTCTTTTAGACAGAGGGTGACAATGTGTTCAACGCCCATGTGTCTGGTTGCTTTAGACATCAAAAGTTGCATTTTGTGTTTTCAAAAAAAAAAAAAAAAAAGTTGCATTTTGTTAAGCTTAACACTTGTTTTATAGGGACAATAGTGTCTAAGTCTTATCTTACTAGCTAAGGTTAACTTAATAACGAATCAGCTACATAATATTAAATTCTATAAGAAAAAAAAACGTAATAAAAGAATTCAGACAAACATTATGTTCACTTAATTAAATCAGCATCGCTAAATTTTGACCCTTGTTCGTAAGTGCAGTCCAGCAGTAAAGTCCGCACTATATGCAACAACAATGATCTCCTTCATATGTCTTTCAAACTAATGTTTCCCATGCTATTCATTCTTCATCATGACTTTTATAACAACTTCATGTTTATATATATATATATATATATATATATATGTTAACCTTATTATTGGTAGACGCAAAAAATCGCTTATTTTATTTAAACTGCAAGAGAATTTCAGTTTTTAATTTTTTTTTTCATGCTATAAATATTAAAAAAACAACACAATTTAGTGAAGGGGGTGGCAATGCAGCAGGCAACCTGTGTCACTCCTTTCAACCCATTATAAAATGAGTTAATTCTTCTAACTCGTTTGTGAATTGAAAATCTCAACTCATCCTATTCTACGAAGGATTGACCGATCAACCCACCTATAGTGAAAAAAAGCCAAAGAAAAAGATTGAGCGAGATGTTTTAGAAGAAAAATGAGTTATTTTACCTAAATTACTTGGGACAGGTTACGTTTATAACTTTTTTTTTACAACTCTTACAACCTCAATTATGTTCTGGTAGTGTACTCCCAGAAGAACATAGTTGAGGTTGTAAGAGTTGTAAACAAAAAAAAGTTATAAACGTAACTCTTCCCAAATTACTTAGTTAAACTATTTTAAAAAAATTTAACCTATCTGGTCAACCCGTCTTGACCCGCACTCAATCCATTTTAACTCACCCTTAAATGGAGCAGGTTGTGAGAGGTTGACAAGTCAGAAATATAATTTAACCTATCAAAATAAATGGGTTAAGCAAGTTGACTTGATAGTCAAACTCGTTTTGTCACCTCTAGTCAATTAAATCACAACGACTTAACTAATTGTAGTTAGTGCTTCAACTTGAGAGAATCTCAATTCATGGATGATAAGCACATGTGGAAAATATTTTTGGTACTCTTGTTCTACCAAGTATTCGGTAAATCATTTACTAAATATGAAAAAAAGTATATTTTTACACTACCATCACCTTTATAGTTATTTTCATCCATATTTTATATTTTTCTGTTTTTGTCAAAAGAGTATATACTTCTAGCGCACCGAAAATGAGCTCGCACATATGAGACCCGTAATAAATTTTATCCAATTATCACCAGTAATTATAAATACAATCAACCCTCACTTCTATGCTCACAAGTATCCACATAGATTTGCCTTTTTTTGTAATTATAAAGTGGATCCGCACATTGATTTTTCCAAAACTTTGCCCCATGCACAGCAAATATTAAATGTGGTGGTGTGATGCCTCCTAAGCACTATAACTTTGAGTCTCATGTGGCATGACCAGAAAAAGTGTGTTGTTTCATTTCCAAGATAATTTGTGCAATGGTCCCATATAAGAAGTTACACTCATAAGTCATATCATAGCACCGTCTCAAGCATGTATAGGAACCCCCACCGATTAGTCTTCACTCGCAGTGTCATATACAGGTTTAGAATTTGCAGCTCTGCCACATGGGTGAGCAAGTTTTGTTTGTTCTTAAAAGCAGAGTTAACATGGCTCCACTATTGCTATGTGTTTTGCGTATTTTTAGCTGAACAATAAACAACGTGGGTGCAGGATGGTATGACATGGCTTCTGAACCCTCCAGCACAAGACCTGCCATTGATTCTAGCTGATAATGGCTTCGACGTGTGGATTGTTAACACTAGAGGAACCAGATATAGCCGCCGACATACCTCATTGGACCCCTCTAACCCGGTTGGTTTTTTAGTTTTCTTTTGAGGTTGTATTGTGTTTTTGCTTTAATAATGTCATGGTTATATTTTCATTTGTTAAAGTAACACTTTGTTTTTTGCTTTAATAGTGTCATGGTTTTATTTTTATTTGTCAAAGTAACATTTTTATGTAAATATGACAGGCTTTTTGGAATTGGTCTTTTGATGAACTGGTTACATATGATCTACCTGCTGTGTTTGATTATGTGTTCAGCCAAACTGGGCAGAAGATTAATTACGTTGGCCATTCTTTGGTACTACATTACATACTTTATTTTGTTCATTTTGAGGGGAGGATAATTTTAAAGTTACATTATCAATTTTAATCATTAGTCCTATTATAAATTAATAGACTGGTGCAAATAATCATAATTTAGAACAAACAATTTTTCTTTTCAATTTTATTTTATTTTTTGTTTAACTTAGAAAAAGAGATAGTAGAACTTGAGTTATTTTGAGCAAACATACTACCAGCAACATCTGGGAAGTATAAATGAACTTTAGTGGCACAATTCCTATGTTTGGCAGGGAACTTTAATAGCTTTGGCTTCCTTCTCCGAAAGGAAATTGGTTAACCAGCTGAAATCAGCAGCATTGTTGAGCCCCATTGCCTATTTGAGCCACATGAACACCGCACTTGGAGTGGTTGCAGCCAAGTCCTTTCTTGGGGAGGTACATAACACTAGCTCTTGTTACTCTAAATAATATGCTTTACACACACAGAGAAGTAGAGGCATTTGCTGATTCAGGGTAAAACTTTTTTCTTTGCCAAACAGATCACTACCTTATTTGGTCTGGCAGAATTTAATCCCAGAGAGTAAGTACATAGAACCTTACTATATAACATAAGCTGTCTCTCCTTACCTTACCCACATTCTGATTCTAATGTACAATTTAATGCGTTTTTTTAATAAGTAACCCTTCACGCAAGAGTTCTTTTAGACTGAATCATGGATATTGCACATCTCATTTTTTTTATTCTACTTTATACTAACTTAATTTTACTAGAAAGTGGAGATAATGAGTATGGAACTCGTAATCTCCTGGTCATATAGCTTTAATGTCATGACAAGAAATCATTTCAACCTGACAGCTTAAGCTATTAAGGGATAGACCTTTCATAATTTATATATTATATCTCTCTAATATTTTTTAATAATTCCTTTGAATAGGTTACCTGTTCATGCCTTTCTCAAAACTCTTTGCGCTCAACCTGGAATAGGCTGCTATGACTTGCTTACTGCACTAACTGGTCTAAGTCTTTGGCCAAACTATATGACTTATTAAAGTTTGATTGTAAGCACTGGACACATTTTTACATAAATAAACTATCCAAGTTTTCTGAACTTTTCAGGTAAAAATTGCTGCCTCAATTCGTCAACTGTTGATCTATTCTTGATGAATGAACCTCAGTCAACATCAACAAAGAACTTGGTGCACTTGGCTCAGAGTAAGATTTTCCCATCTAGCTAGCTACTCAACTCATTAATGCATTTAACTACTTTTGTAACTGAACAAGGAAGCTTCTAATGTAATGTTATGAATTTGCAGTTGTTAGACGTGGGGTTGTGGCGAAATTCAATTATGTGAGACCAGATTATAATATTGTGCATTATGGAGAATTAATCCCTCCAATTTATAACCTTTCCAATATTCCCCATGACCTTCCTCTTTTCATTAGCTACGGTGGCCTAGATGCACTTTCTGATGTTCGTGACGTTCAGAATTTGCTTGATATACTTAAGTTCCATGATGTGGATAAGCTAAGTGTCCAATTCATCAAGGACTATGCTCATGCTGACTACATTATGGGGTACAACGCCAAGGACATAGTGTATAATGCTGTTGTTTCATTTTTTAATCGTCAATTTAACACTTGAACAAAATCTTAGGAAGCATCAAGTTGTAAGAAACAAATGCCATATAATTGGCCTATCACTGAGATCAATATAAGTTATATCTGTTGAAGATTATCTAGTGAACAATTACACAAGTAAAGAAGTATCTTAGGTTATTTGTTTTGGTATTCCAAATGGCTATGCTTCTATGATATTGCATTGTAATGCAGGGGCGACAAGCAAATTTGCCTTAACTATCTAACATTAACACATGGATGAGAAATATATCGGTGGAAAGACCCAATACCGAAGAAGTAAAAATATGTATGGTTTCTTTCATACCCATAAAACATAAGATTTGCTAAATTATTTCAACAACGACATGGATTGTTACAAGGCTTAGGAATTCTACTCTACATCTAGGATACATATAGCAAAACAAACAAATGAGGATAAACTTGACTTGCTAGTAGGCTGTGCATGGGTCAGGTCGGGTCAGATTTTTGTGCCGACTCGATCCAACTTGGTTTTTATAGATCATGTATTTTGACCCAACCCGCTTTAATTTGATCCAAGTTAGGTCTGACTTAGTTTGGATTTTTTTGAACTAGTTCAGAACTGGGTCAAATCTGACCTGACTTGGTTTCTGAAGTTCTTCTAACTTGGTTTCTGAAGTGGATCAAATCTGACCTGACCCGTTTTTGACTTGGTTTCGTCATAAAATTTCGTCGAAATTTTTACGTTGCAAACGAAGAAAATTTCGTCACAAAATTATTTTTTCGTCGAAATATTTTTTGTCGAAAAGCGACGAAATTTTTTCTCTAATGAAAATTTTCACAAAAAATTTTTTTCTATCGAAATTTAGTTTCCGTCAAAAGTTTTGACGAAAATGATTTCCTCCATCAAATATTTTAAACGAAAAAAGAACTCCGTCAAAAATTTTGACGGAATGTTTTTCGTTCAAAATTTCGACGGAAATCGTTTTGAGAGAAATGTTTCATTCGAAACTTTCGACGAAATTTAGATTCCCTAAAGAATTGACAGTATATTTTTTTGGTCAAAATTTCTTATCGAAATATTTTTTGTCAAATATTTTTATGAAAATTTTTGACAAAAATGTGTTCTGTTGAAAATTTTGATGGAAATGTTTTTTATCAAAAAACTTGACGAAAATATTTAGTCGAAAATTTTGATGGAAATGTGTTTCGCTAAAAATTTGACGAATTTTTTTTTTGTCAAAAAGTTTAACGAAAATGTTTACGTCGAAAACTTTCGCCTAAATTTGAATTCTGTAAAGTGTTTTGATGAAATTTTTTCCGTCAAAAAATTTCGATGGAAATGTGTTTCGTCGAAAATTTTGATGAATATGTTTTTTTGTGAAATATTTTGACGAAATTTAGATTCCGTAAAAAAATTTGACAAAAAAATTTTTCCGTCAAATTTTTTTACATAAATATTTTTAGTCACAAATTTTTATGAAAATATTTTTCGTCAAAATGTTTTTGAAAATTTTTTATGGAAATATTTTGCGTACAAATTTTTGACGTAATTGTTTTACGTTAAAACTTTTCTTTTAATGTAATTGTTATTTTTTTTTTCACATGATGGGTATGGGTCAATGGGTCATTATTAAAACAAGTCAGGTCTAAAACTGACCCACATAAAGTGGGTCAGTATTTAAACCCAGTTCAAAAAAAATAGGTATTTATGGGTCAGGTCAAGGTCAGATCAAGGGCAGGACAAGTGAACCAGTTTTTTTGCACACCCCTATTTGCTAGCTGCTAGTACAGTTAGTTCTATTCACTCCCAGCAATTTTCTTTTTCAGTGTAGCTAGTTCCTTTCTGCTAGACTCTGTAGAAAAACAATTATATTATATAGAAGAAATATGTTGCTTAAAACACACGTGCAAATCTAACATAGCCTGATGATCTAATCATGTTCATATATAACAGAAGCAATTAGATCGAATGTGAAACAAATAAGTTATAAATACCTCCGTTCATCGCTTTCTTTGGTTGCTCCAAAAATAGGTTGAAGTAGTTTGGTGAGTCTTTGTGAGTCTTCTAAACTCTAGCTCTTAGGCACAGATGATGTATAACAACAATCCAAAGGTTAGTTCAGGGACCCCAAAGTCTAAAGCTATACCATAAATAGACTCTTACCACCAAGGTGTCAATTAACAATGATGTGCACAAAATATGGGTTGTTGGGATTTTTTGGCCATTGTGAATGAATGTTGCTAAAAAAGTGTGGAAGTGGATGGGTACTATTGCTGAAAATCAGTGGACCACATTTTTGACTTATTCCTCAATTTGTTACCGAGAATAAAGGCACACTAACATTCTCCCACTTGGTCCACATATCCTATCATATACTATAGTGAGAAACAAAATACATGGATCATGGCGATAAGTCCTATAATATGTGCGAGTATTATCTTTCATATACTACACTGCATTATATTTCTCAAGCCCATATGACTTAATGAATAAACCCAATATTTATTTTAGGTCCAAACTTTATTGATGTTTCTCAGAATAAATAACTGGAAAAAATCACAAATAGAGTTTCATTAAAATAATATCATTCTTACAATGAAAATTACATAAAGGAACCAAGTCCCATCCTTTCTACATGATCCCTAAATTTAAATGGTGGCATATCTTTAGTTAAAGGATCAACAATCATTAATTTGGTGCTAATGTGCACAATAACTATTGTTTTATCTTTAACACATTCTCTTATTATGACTAGATATTTAATGTCGATATGTTTGTTTTGACTACCAATTTTGTTATTATTAGCCATAAAAACAGTTGTTGAATTATCACAATATATCTTTAATGGCCTAGAAATAGAATCCATAATTCTAAGCACATAAATGAAATCTCTCATCCATACACCATGTGAGGTAACCTTAAAAAAAGAAACGAATTCATCCTCCATAGTGGAAGTAGCAGTCAAGGTCTGCTTGACAATTCTCCTAGACACAACTCTATTGGGTAGCAGAAAAATATATCCTAAAGTCAATTTTCTAGAATCAATGTAGCCAATGTAGTATGAATTTGAGTTAGTAATCACTTCCAAGTTGTCAGTCAGTCTATACATAAACATGTAGTTCTTAGTATACTTTGATATCTCCCTAACACTCCAACCGCAAAAGCAATGTTAGGTCTTGTGTATACCTGAGCATACATATAGCTTCTAATAGTTGAAGCATAAGGAATGTTCTTCATTTGTTCACTCTCAAGACCATTTTTGGGCACTGGCTTAAATTAAACCTGTCACCCTTCATAATGGGAGCTAAATTTGGTGAAAAATCACTCATCCTAAATATTTCTAAAATTTTGTTGATATAGGTATATTGAGACAAACCAAGAACACCTCTTATTTTGTCTCTATTAGGGGCGTTAAACGAAATAGGGGCCTTTGGCCCGGCTCGTGACGGCCTGGACTTACACGTCTAAAATTGATTGTTGTAGCTAGGCTTGGACTTGTATAAAAGCTCGTTTAATAAAAAGGCCTCAGACTCTAATTCAAAAGTCTGACCTTAGAGCCTCTCAGGATGGCCTAGTATACTAATTTTTTTTTTATATTTTTTATACTGCTCATAATAGCCATCTCTCTCCTCAACCCATTTCACCCCATTTTATTGGTTAAACAGACTTTTTGAATGATTTTGTTTTATATTATGCTCTTTGGATATACATTGAATTTATGAATCTTTGTGGAATTATTAGTGTTGTTGATCGTATATTCTGTTTGGATAAATTTTTGTTTTCATATTTTTTTTAATAGGCTAAACCAAGTTTTTATTTTTTGTAAACAAGCCAGACCACATGCCGATAATGATATTCATAACAGGTAACAGGCTAAGTCAGGCTAACACATTTAAACATAGGCTTAGCCTTTTAAGACCAAAGCTCCGCCCGTTAACACCCCTAGTCTCTATGTATCTTGATGTTGTTAAGTGTCAAATATGTCACGTCTTTAAGGCCAAAAATATGTTAAATATTGTTGAATACGGTCAAAGACATGGTAAATATTATTATATGCAAAAGATTTTTAGAGTTTCCATGCTTGGTAAGATATTAACTAAATAATATATCGGTTTCAGGTTAAAACTGCTATGATGAAGTGAGGACTGATCAATGGAACCGGAAGAAGACAAAATTCAAGACAAGTTATACTCGTTGGCTTGCTTGCTTCAGTGATAAAGTCCAGCGAGCAAAGCCAGAGGATGTATTTTCGTTCAGCAGCTCGATAAAGCGAGTAACTTATCGAGCAAAATCCAGAGGAAGGCAATTGGCTCATATTTCCTCGTTGAGTTGCTCACCCTAAGGAGCAACTGAGCGAGCGGGACACCAGAAGCACATATTTTTAATATTTTTCTCGCTGAGTTGCTCGCTTCAGCGAGCAAACTCGTAAAAAGCCTATGAACTTTTATTAAAAGAAAGAACAAAAAGAGGGCAAGGTAGTTCATGACGGTTGCGACCAGAGAAGGAGAAGAGCTTTGTTCTTGGACCGAGGAGTTAAAGATCGGGTCAAAGCTTCACCGTGGAGATAGATCATTAACCCTTTTCATGGATTTTACTAGTTTTATCTTATCTATTATCTTAGTTTTCCCGACTATGTCAGGCTAGGTTTTCTTGAAGTTAGGGTTAGATGGAATCAATGAATTCTTAATCATATTTACTCTTTTCCTTTCAATTTAATATTTAAACTTTCATGTTGTACAATTATTCTGCATTTCCTTCTTAGTTCTTTTGTGAATTGATTAGTCATAGAAGAATACTTTAGTTTTGCATGACAATAGGGATGTTGGTGTGAAATTCTGATCTAAATAATTTCTAGGCTTTGTTTGATCTAGTGATAGACGAATAGAGTCTATGATGATGTTTGTTCATCGTTCTTAATGCTTTCCTAAGCGAAATCTCTAAGGGATTAGGATTCTTAATAGGTTAAAGAATTGAAATACCAAGGGATTGAATTTTAATTAATATATGATGAATTGTTCAATAACGTGAGTTTGAATATTGGTTGAGGGAAATGGTAGATAGATTAGGAAAAAGTTGGGGAAGTTGAAACCCTAGCTACACTTTTGCATTATTACTTTTTATTCTAAATTTTATTCTGAGTTCTTGGTTCTTGTCTTTGATAATTATTTGGTAGTTATAACTTGTGTTTTTATATTTTAATCACATTCACAATTATTATTTCAGTTGATCCAACTTTGGTATAGTAGTGAAAATAATGCTTGATAGATAAATCCTTGTGGGAATAATATCTTATTTATCACTTTATTACTTGTATGACTAATATACTTGCGTGATTGCAACAAGTTTTTGGCGTCGTTGCTTGGGATTGAGCGCTATCAACATTAATAATATCTATAACATCATAGATTAAATCTTTTTCTTTTTCTTTTTAATTATTCTCTTATTCTCAATTTTTCTTATTTCTTTGGTTTATGCAACTGCGAGGTACTGTTGACGCCAGCTCTTTGCAATATAAATTAGAGTTAAGGAGGCTTCAGAGGACAAATAGGAAGTGTGCTCATGCAAGAAGAGAGCAAAAAACATCTACTTCTGAGCCTTTAGATGAGGAAACTGTGGCTGTAAATCCACCACCACCTCTTGAAGAGCTTATGGATCGATATTTAAATCTGAATATTCTCATTCAGTGGCAAGCATAATGAGGCCAACCATTCAGGCGAATAATTTTGAGATCAAGGCATCTTTCCTGAACGTGATTCAGAAGAACCAGTTTTAGGAGAGTCCTTTAGAGGATCTAAATCAGCACATCACTACCTTCCTACAGATGTGGGATTTGATGAAGATTAATGGAGTAACTGCTAAGGCAACCCGTCTGACGCTGTTTCCATTCTCTTTGAAAGGAAGAGCAAGGAGTTAGCTAGATCTGTAACCTGCTGGCAACATCACTTCTTGGGATGATCCGATTGTCAAGTTTTAGAAGAAGTTCTTCCCACTTTCCAGATTATCTGACCTGAAAGATCAGATTGATAATTTCAAACAATTGGAGGGGAGTCTTTATGCATTGCTTGAGGAAGATTCAAGGAGCTGATGAGAAGATGTCCACAATATGTGCTCTTAATTTATGAGAAAGTGTGTATCTTCTATAGGGGAATCACATCAACATATAGAGCACTACTTAATGTTGCAACTGGTAGAAGCATGGGAGAGATTACACCAACTAGAGCTTTGAAGCTATTTGAGAAATGTCATCTGAGGATAATGAAGTAGCTCCTATACAACCCAAGAGAGGAATTATGCAATTAGAAGGGTATGATGCAATGTTAGCTAAGCAGGAGAAGATGGGTCAGTAGCTGGAGACACTTACAAAGTTGCTTACTCAATCTCAGTTCTCAGCCATTAATGCTTAGTTTCTAATGGTCTATGATACATGTGGTAGAGCTCATATCAATGATAGATATGATGCAACAACTGCAATAGACCCAACTCAAGTGAACTATTTGGGTAATAATCGGAGGAGGAGAATAATCTGTACAGTAAACCTATAATTCTGGCTAGAGGAATCACCCAACATTCTCCTACAAGGCTGCATCACAGCCAGCAAATCTGAAATTTTAGCCAGTGCAGCCTAATCCTCCTTTTGATTTGGAGAGAGCTCTTGAGAAGTTGACTTTATCAACTGCAGGTTTTATGCAAGAGACTAGATCATCCCTCATAAATCAAGAAGCTTCCATCAAGAATTTAGAGACTCGAATTGGACAAATTTCCAGGTAAATAGCTGAGAGGGCTCCAGGAACATTTCCTAGTGACCCAGTTGTCAATCCAAGGGAGCATTGCAATGCCATCACTATAAGGAGTGGGATAGTAATTCAGCCTGTGGAGAAGATAATGGCTGCATAGGGAAATGAAAGTAATGCTGAGAATGAGAAGGCAGAAGACACAATGGATAAGGGTGTCATAATTATTGGTGGAGAGCTGAATGAAAAGGTTGACACCTAAAGGAAGAATGTGAAGAAAAATTCTAATGAGCAAAAGAAGCCAATCGAGACTTTTCCTTATGCTAAAGCTCCTTATCCTCAGAGATTCAAGCAACAAGCTCAAAAGCACCAGTTATAAGTTCCTGCATATGTTCAAGAAGCTGCAGATCAATATTCCATTTGCGGAGGCTTTGGAGCAAATGTCTTCTTATGCTAAGTTCCTGAAAGAGATCTTATCCAAGAAGCAAAAGCTCACAGCGAAGGGACCCACCATCTTGACAAAGGAATGTAATGCAATCATGTAGAAGAAGTTGCCTCTGAAGTTAAAGGATCCAGGAAGTTTTAGCATTCCTTGCACAATTGGCTCGGTGACAGTGGATAGAATCTTATGTGATCTCGGTGCCAGTATCAATGTCATGCCATTATCTATGATGAAGAAGTTGGGAATCACAAAAGTAAAACCAACCACGATGATCTTACAACTAGCTGACCGCTCCACCAAGCAAACTTATGGAGTTATAAAGGATATACTTCAAGATGGATAAGTTTATCATTCCAATGGACTTTATAATCCTAGATATAGAGGAGGTTGTTATTGTTCTTATTATCTTTGGGGGAGGCCTTCTTAGAAACCTCAGGAGTGCTGATTGATGTACCGAAGAGTGAGTTGATCTTAACCATGGAAGGAGAGAAATCCATCCTAAAAGTATTTGATAAAGAAGTTCCACCATACACAACTCGACCAGAGGAGATTTTCTTTTATTGGTGAGAAGAAGGTTGAGGGAGATGACAAGAAGGAAACCTATCAGTCAGATAAGAAATGCAAGCCGAAAGTGAAGATGGAAAAGCCCAAGAGAAAGAGAAAGCATGTGAAGGCTAAGTTTAGAGTTCCTGAGGTCACTCCTTCTCATCCACATGCATACGAGTACCACTATGGCAGGTCACACTTTTTGAGCAAAACGATGGTGTCATCATTGAGCTCAAGCTACCAGCCACCGTAAGCATAAAACTTCCATGTCAAGCTCGTGACGTTAAAAAATATGCTATTTTTAAGCTTTGTCGAAGTTTCTATGGCGAAACCCGATTTCGAGCGTCTCAACCCGCCAAATGAAGAATAAGACACTGTAGAGAAATCTCAAGAAATCTTACGGGTTAGGGTGAGATTGTGAGAGAGGCATCCTATTTATATTTTTCACTAAAATGTCTCACGAAATCCACACCAATAGAAAATCCATTAAAATCGTCAGATTTTTTGAATACCACAGGATTATTTTGTCCTTTATTTAGAATTCTGATTGAATACCAACGGATTTGGACGGACTCTAAAATAATCTTTTAAAATCCTATCGAATATCACGTGACTATTTTCAATCCTTTAAAATCATAATTTAATATCAATGAATTTTTTTGTCCAAAAATAATCCATTAAAATATTTTGAAATCTCAATCTAATACCTCTCTTAATAATAATAATAATAACTTGATTAAAAAGTTAATAATTAGATTATTTTTATTGATATTAAATATGATATTTTAAAAAAAATTGGAATTTTGATCGTCTTCTCCATTAATTCTCAATCTACGTGTAAATCCAAAAATTTGAAATCTATTATTGATACTGATAGGCATAATAGAACGCATATTCCACGCCTCACTGAACCATCATACATCATCGTCCTCTCTCTGGTAGTTAAACTCAAAGCAGAGGCAGCACCACCACAATCATTCCTCGTTAAAAGAAAGGGTATAGCATTCCATAGAGAGAGAGACAGAGAGAGAGAGAGAGAGGCGATGCCGGAGGAAACGACGTCGATTGACTACGTGATGGAGGCAGCGTCTGGGCCCCACTTCTCGGGTCTGCGACTGGACGGCCGTAAACCAACATCGTCAACCTCATCTCCCGCTCCTGATTCATCCCTAACCACCGATTCCCTTCCCAATCAACCCTTCGTCATAGGTCTTTTTTTTTCTTTTTCTTTCTTTTTTTTGGCACTTTTATTTGTTTTGTTTTGTTTGTTTGTTTGTTTGCGTGAATTGAATGTGTGGTGGTTCAGGAGTTTCTGGTGGTACTGCCTCAGGGAAGACCACCGTGTGCGACATGATCATTCAGCAGCTTCACGATCACCGCGTCGTCCTCGTCAATCAGGTAATTAATTAGTTCTCTCCCCTCTTATTCTTTTTTTATGTTTCATTTTTTTTTTTTTTGGTATCCGTGTAGGATTCGTTTTATCGTGGTTTGAGACCGGAAGAAATGGAACGCGTGCACGAGTACAATTTCGATCACCCTGGTAATTGCCGTTTAAATTTTGTTGTTGTCGTACTGAGTGAGTGAGTGAGTGAGTGAGTGAGTGGGTGGGTTCGTTTAAATTGTCGTTCCTTGCAGATGCTTTTGACACTGAACAGATGTTAGAGTGCATGAGGAAGCTCATCAGTGGCCAGTGTGTGCAAGTCCCCATTTATGACTTTAAGAAACACCAACGGTCTTCCGATAGTTTTAGACAGGTACAATTTCAATGCATCTTCCGGGGTATGGTATCGCATGGTTACACACACACACACACACATATATATATATAACTCTCCATGTTGAACCCCGACTAGTAAAGATAGAGATGAGGACAATCCTTATAGGCAGTCTTACCTTTGCATATTTGGAAAGAGGTTGTTTCCCATATTCGAACCCATAACCTTACATATATATTATAAAAACATTCATGAACTGTTGGCCTAAGATAAATGAATAGTTTTATATTATATCTCTTAATGTATAGCATGTAGGTAGTTGAAGTTGGTGGATTGGGTTAGCAAGAGGTCTTAATTTAAGGATGTCACTAGTCCTTCTTCTGTTGCAAACTTAAGCATATCAATGAGAGCGCCAGTTAGGATCACTATGCCCTTAAGTTATTTTAAGTCATCTGTGGATACATTAAGATTTTCTTATCCAAGATCTACTAATTCAGTAAAAGCATATGATTTCTTGATAAAAGAAGAAATTCCATTACATGGAATGAAGGGATACAAAGGAGGATAATGCTATATGAGCAGCTCTTAAAAGAGACAACAATCATTTTTCATAGAAGTTATTTGTCTATTGTCATACAACTCAAATAATTGCTTCACACACACACGTACTGGCAGGTTGAAATATGATCAAAGAGACTGTAGAAAATTTCTATAAGCATACAAAAGTAGGTTAATTATATTTTGATTTTTAGTTCTATACTTTTTCACATGCAAGAGTGTGACTGATCAGAGTAGAGTTTCATAGAACCAAAATTTAAAATCCCAAACAGCATTTCATCACCATATACAAGCAAGTCAGGAACAACACACACTACATTCTCAACAATTATTTCGAATTTCATGGAAGATGGGAGATTGTTCCTGGACTTACCCTAGTTTGAAGATTATTCCTCTTTTCAGGCTTGTCTTGATTCCTCTTATACTCAGCCCCTATTTTTTTACAAAACCAGCTCAGCTCCTAACTTTTGTTTTTTAACTCTGGTTGTGTTTACCTTTTGTCCCTTGAGAAAAGTGATGTGGGTTTTTAGTTTTCCTCTATGTTTCCTCAACGGGTAGCCTCCTAGAGTGAATGCATTGATTTCAGAAAGAGAGTTGGATTCTGCCAAGGGTTTTAGGAGGTCTTGGCTGAATGAAAATAAGGAAGGGATGAATGGAGTGTGATGATAAAAGTGTTTGGGTGTGAGTAAGATTTGGATGGCTTGGCTTTTCTTAGATGATTGCATGAAGTTTCTTGAGAAGGTGAGAGTGATATCCGTAGGAAATTCTTGAAAGTAAAAAGAGGTTAGATGGGGGAGTGTTTGTGGATAGAAGAGGGAATGGTGGATGAGATGTTTTGATGGATAAAGGGGGATGGCTGTAGGGGAGAGTAGGAGGAAAGTATGGGATGATTAGACTAGTGGGGTGAGGGGAAAAGACCAATTTACCCTTTGCACACAAGGTGTGATAAGGGAAGAGAGTGAGGTTATTTTGGAGAGCTGAAATTTTGTTACTTAGGAAAATTTAATTACCCACTTAGTTATTAGACACCCACACTCAGAATTATACAACCAATCATATATATATGTATATGTAAAAATAAAATAAGCAAAAATTTCAGGCATTACATCTCTAATCCCTCCGCATATTGTCAACGAGACTTTCTTTCAAAACCTTTTGTTGAACAGCAATGAGAGGCCATAAGAATGCCATACATAGAGAAGTTTTCTGCTCTTGTGCTTTCCAAAACCTTTGAAAATTAAGTAGTTCTTAACAGTGGACAAACCCATGCTCCAACATGCACACCAAAAAGCCTTCTCCACTTTGAAAAGGCTGATAGTCAATTCAAAAACATCTGAATAGCTGTTTCCTAGTTTGAATAACTTATCACATGCATATCAGCAGACAGAACTTAATTAGTTCTACAAATCACACACAATGTAAGTATTACATGTTGCACCTGATGAAATCTCTGTCATATTTTATGAGCATTGAAATGTATCAGGTGGTTACTTTGCCATTTACTTTTTTCTTTTTTCTATTTGACTGTTTTTCTGGTCCTTTGCTGAATAGTAATTGACACCTGTACTTTCTCCTCAGGTCAATGCCTCTGATGTCATTATATTGGAGGGAATTCTTGTATTCCATGATCAAGATGTCCGTGATCTGATGAACATGAAGATCTTTGTTGACACAGGTTTGACACATTTGTATGTTCACCCCCCCCCCCCCCCTCCTCCCCAATGGTGTGTCTTGTGAGTTTTTGAATTGTTTATAAATACAATACGGTGCTATAATTACTAATTCTTTGGAACCGTTTTCTGTATCTCTTTATTTCTCCCATTGTCATGTTTTATGTTGCATTTCTCTAGGTGCTTGGTAAAATAAAATACATGAAAATATACATGAATCATTTGTGAAGAATATGAAAAAAATAAACTCCTAGAAATAACTTATACACAATATATTTACTGTAGGACTGAATCCATGCTTGAGCCATAGGATGCTTAAGACTACTTTTAGTTTAAAAAAAAAAAAAAATCATTGTTGATACTCACTTTTATAGTTTTACTACTACGGCAAAGCATGATGTTTTTTCGATGCTTGAATGGCTTATGTAGACAGTTTCCTTGAAAATCTTTAGGAATAATAGAGTAAAATGCATCGTATTATTTTTGTTAATGGCAAGATGCACTTTTGAACGTATATTGGTTTAAATTTCCTAATAAATAAACTTCTCATTGATATATTGTTTAGATCTATACTCCCAGGCTCATAAATAATTATGCTTTGTGAACTGCAACATATCTGGTATAAGTTCAGTCACATAAAATAAGGGTTTAATAAACCTATTTCTCCATATGTTCCCTATGTTTATTGCCTTTTCATTCCTGTCATCTTGTGGTAAATTCTTAGATTAGCTGCTGGCCTTTAATTGAAGATAACTAAGAAAAAGACTGCTATTATTTATTTTATATAGTAATAGAAGCTCTCACCCCACTCTGCTCTCTGTCGAGCTTTATCTTTGCTTATTGATTTGCGTACAGATGCTGATGTGAGGCTTGCTCGGAGAATTAGACGTGACACAGTGGAAAGGGGCAGAGATATAAACTCTGTTCTTGAACAGGTAAGTCCAACTATTTAATTGGTAACCATGGCTTTACAGCAGTTAGGCTGATAATGATAACTTTTTCATATGAATTTATTTTTGTGAGGAAGTATGATATGTGAATAGAGAGAGAATTTTATAGTCCTCATGAGATGTGATCTATCACATTGCATATTTGTTCCTACCTGCTTGTAATGTTGGTTTTGCAGTATGCAAAGTTTGTTAAGCCTGCCTTTGATGATTTTGTTCTGCCATCAAAGAAGTATGCTGATGTGATCATTCCTCGTGGAGGTGATAATCATGTTGCCATTGATTTGATTGTGCAACATATCCGCACAAAGCTTGGTCAACATGATCTATGCAAAATATATCCAAATGTGTATGTTATTCAATCAACGTTCCAGGTATCTATGAACACAGTTTGTCAGTTGTTTTATATTTTTTTATTCTCCAGTTTTAATAATTTAAAATCTGTGGAAGATCCTTTGGTACATCCTTGCTACCCAGCCAAACAGAGAGGGGTACCTTACTTTATGAAGCATTTTATAGACCCTTTTTGTTACGATTTTTTATTTTTTTCTTGGAATTGAAAAGAACGATTGTCCTTAAGTTTTACCTTTTTGTGAGTCATACATACTTACATAGGAAGCACGTGTTAAATAATGCTGAAACATTACCATATCTCTGATGGATTGTTTTCTTGGATTATTTCAATGTAACAAAAGTACTTAATCTATTATGACCCCGAAAGAAGTTATATTTTTTATAAGACATGGAGATTGGTTGATGTTTTTATATTTAATTTGGACGGATAATCAAGGTGGTGAAGGAACTAGAAATTGAGAATAATCATGTTTCAATTTCAAGGCCACAACTTGTCATTATATACAGTAATTAAATGATACAAATGTATTTACCAAAAAAATAAATAAAAATGATACAAATGCATAGCTATAGTACAGAGGAATATTCCTTCTAGAAAGAAAGGAACATAAGTTGTTTGTGCATGGTAATTCTTGCAGCTCTCTTTTCTGTTCACAGTCTTCAAGCTGATATAATGAACTGTTCCATCTATACTTGGTCCTTTATTGGTTATGCTTATATGTTCCAGATAAGGGGCATGCATACATTGATTCGTGACCGAGACATATCAAAGCATGATTTTGTATTTTATTCAGATCGACTTATACGCCTGGTACTGTATGCTTTATAGCTTGCTGAACTTCTTTACTTCATGACATTTTAGTACTTGGTACATTAGACATAACATAACTGGCTTTTACTAATCTTGGTTATTAGGTTGTCGAGCATGGTCTAGGTCATCTGCCATTCACTGAAATGCAAGTGGTTACTCCGACAGGTAATCATCTTTCCCTGTCCTCAGTCCTGGCAGTTTTTATGTTCTGTGTTCATTATAACACCTCTTGTTTGGGAAACAAGATTTGTGCTTTGTGAACTGCATCATGTTTGGTAAAGAAGCAACAGTAGTACACAAATGGAGGCTTAATTAACTGAAATGACGTTTATATTACAGGATCTTTGTATACTGGTGTTGATTTCTGCAAGAAATTGTGTGGTGTTTCAATTGTTCGAAGGTGAGCTTTGAACCAGGTATTAATTTTAGTAGGTCCAGTCTAAAAGATAGGGTGCGACTAGAAATTCAATAATGGAAGTAATAGCACCAGTTCCCTTTGATTAGATTAGTGATCTCAGATTCTCACAGTGGGTGTGTTTACTATCCAGTAAACATTGAGTCCTGATGCTAAAACTGGAGTTATTCGCTTTGCACACTATCTAGGCTGTTTCTTGGGGGCTGAATATTTTTTTATTGTTTTTGCATTATAGTGGTGAGAGCATGGAAAATGCACTTCGTGCATGTTGTAAAGGCATTAAAATTGGAAAAATTCTTATTCATCGGGATGGAGACAATGGAAAACAGGTAAATAATGGAACCATGAAGTTGACTTAGAACAGCCCTCATTGATATGTTCTCTACGGATGTTGTTAGTGTTTAATGGTAAACTCTTTGCTTCTCTGAGCAGCTTATTTATGAGAAGCTTCCCAAGGATATTTCAGAAAGGCATGTCTTGCTTCTTGACCCTGTCCTTGCTACAGGTGAGATTTTAAATGTTCTCCCACTACTCTTATTGTTCCACTTTATCTACCTTACTGTGTCCTATTTCAATAGGCTTTATTCCTGAAATCCATTATGCCAGCAAGGCAGCAACTGCTCATGCTTTTATTTGCATTCTTTAAATTCATTGGAAAAAAAACGTGCTAATAATATGCAGAAAGAATACTAATCTGGGCTAAAGCAACAATTTCATTGACTAAACAAAAGAAAGAATCAACACAAGGATTGTGAGAAAAATTATTTCTCTTTTCTGAATTTTATTTAACCAAAAAACAACCAATTAATAATAGGGTTCTCCAAGCCTTAAATAGACAAAATAAAATAAAATGAAAATAAAATTAAACAAAATCAAAAGAAATAATGCGCAATCAAAAGAGATAATGCATAATCAAAAGAGAATCAAAGAAATAACGGAAATATAAAATAATGGTTAATGACTAAAATTCCCTAAATTATAGAATAAGCCTAAAAAGCCCAAAATGATGCATGCACGCACACACGTATGAATATTTCTAAGTCAATCTTAGGTGCATCAAATTCACTCAAAATGATTTGCTACTATAGGGTAGCATGTTAATTATGTTACTGGTTTGATATTTTATGGAATTATTTTTGTGAATGTGGAATACTATTTTCTGGGGAATCGGGGATGTGAGAGAGGATGATATAAATACAATTGAATTTGAGATAACATAGATGCAATTGTGTTAGCTAGATACCACATATGGAACCTGTAAAAGCTGATAATAGTGACCCGCTAAGTTGTATTTTAATTATTATTTTGAGATGGCAAACTAACCTAGTAGTCTACTGTTGATTTGTTAGAATCCTTCTCATCTAATGGTTACTTTATCCATTTTGTGTTTTCGCTGCTGATAATAAAAATTTAACGTAAATAACTTCCATTGTAGGTAACTCTGCCAACCAGGCAATTGAATTACTCATTCAGAAAGGAGTTCCAGAATCCCACATTATATTCCTGAATCTCATTTCCGTGAGTTAATTTTGATGCCTTCTTTGCAGATAAAATCATAGTTATCTGATTATTATTTCAGACTGTTTACACTCACGGATCTTGTGGATCTATTTGAATTCAGGCTCCCGAGGGAATCCATTGTGTATGTAAAAGGTTTCCATCATTGAAAATTGTCACATCTGAGATTGATGTTGCCTTAAATGAAGAGTTTCGTGTTATCCCGGGATTGGGCGAGTTTGGTGATCGCTACTTTGGTACTGATGATTGATCCCTTATGTGGAGACACCTTTTAGGTAGCAGCTGCCGTGATTAAGAATATGAAAAGCAGCTTGCTGCATTGTAACGAGATATTAAAGATTCAGCAGAATTCAGCTTTGCTGTTATTGAAGTCAAGCATATTAGAATAATATGAATGTAAATTCACTCATGGGTGAATGATTTTTAGCTTTATTAGTTAGAATGTAAAGATCAGTCTTAGTAAGATGTTGATGTTACCATTCAAAATTCGAGTAGACAATTCTACCTATTTCGTTCAGCAAAGGTCATGTGGGTAAAATTTTCATAGTTATCAATTCTTACCTATTACTAACAAGATCGATTATATAGCTCAGTATATGCAAACTGCGCATTTATCATTCATGTTTCATACCTCTTATCTAGCAAATAAGATGAATTGTTTTTTTTATGGAATGATTACTCTCGCTTTGAAATTTTTATTAACTATTTATTATAGTCAAATTATTTTCCTAATTGTACATATATGTGTCTGCGCGTACGTGTATGTATAAATTTTCTAGTTACTTAAATTTAATTTTATAATAAAAAATTAATATGATGATTTCGTTGATTATTTTTTTATTTCTAGCAACATAATTAAATTGTCAATATTTTTGATTTTTAGCAATGTAATTAAACGTCCTTATATATATATATAGGGTTTTATTAATCTCCTTTTACATAAGATAGGTATCTTATATTGTAGAGAGAAACTAGGTGAATCCCACCATTACAAGAAAAAAGAAAAAGAAAAAAAAGTGAAGTGCGGAAATCGAAGTGAGAGAACATGTAAAAGGAGACTAATATTTCCCATATATATATATATATATACACGAGAAAGAATATTTTTTTGTTTATATCTCTTATAATAACCATTGATTTTCGTTTTAAGATATAATTGTAAGAGATTATAAACAAAAATAGGTTGTAAGAATATCCTTTAAAATGTAACTCCCCATTATAGAATCGGTTTGTTAACATCAAAATGGTATTAAGCGCAACATATTTAATTAGTTAAACGTGGAAGCTTGCTTTATAATTCACTATTAGTCTTAACATAAAAACATGAATAAACTTTTTCTCACTTATATATTGCAATTAGCTAATTATTTCTTGTTTAATTGAAACTACTTAATACCCTCTTGCATCTCTCATCCTTTTAAAAATAAATCTTACAGCATTCCGTCTATAATTCGAACATCTAGGGATAATTCCCACCGTCCCAACATCATCTGATAGACAGTATATCTCATTTCTTCAATCTAGAATCCATCCATGGATTTTATATCTAAGTCTTTGTGCCAATGACTTATTAAACAATCCTTGCCAATTCAAGGCTCAAGTATATACTCCATACAATTAGCATATCTCTTAGGCATGCAAATACAATTCATATCTTGTATAAATCTACAGATGCTTCTCTAAACATAATATACAAGTTTTATGCAACATAGGCATAAAAACCCTCAATGCTCTCCAAAAGAATAACATGATATATACATCTCAAATGATAATAAAACTCATGAATCATGCCATGTAAATATCAAAATAAAGTCTATAATCTCATGTTACTTCACTGTCCTGGCCTCCTGCCATGCGATGCCTCAGCACCATCGATCTCTGTACCTGAAATGTAAGCCCCCAAACAGGGTGAGATCAACCATCTCAGTAAACTAGGGGTCCTTGGAGGGCTCCTCCACCCCTAAGTTCACTTCGGGTGTAACTACAGTATAAAAATCATGTATTCATCAGAATATGTATATCAATGCATGTGTGCAAATGTGAATCCTACTGGCCAGAGAATATAACAAGTATGCATTACGCAAGGAAACACCGTCTTGCAACATACCGTATGAGGAAACACCATCTTATATTATGCATAAGGAAACACCATCTTATGCCTCACACACGGAAACACTGTCTTATGTAGAACACAAACATACATACATATACATGCAACATATAACAAATCATTTTCAACATACCATATCAAAAAACCTTCCTCCCTCGGAGTCTGGTGGAACAAATGGGGAATTAACCCCAAGGACCAAAAGCTTACCTGTCAAAGCAATGTCCTTCAGTGTACTCCTTGTATCCAAGGGTCACAACCAGAGGGTCCACACTAGTATCACCTATCACAAGGTGTAAGTATGATTAATAACACAAATCATACCATAATTATAAAACTAGTAATTACAAGTATCATTATCACTACTTATTATTCATACTCATTATGAGTGTATATTACTTGCAATATCATTATCACTAATTAACCTATGATAATATAGAACATCTTATACTAGCACAATAGGGTCCATGAGTCCTTTCACTGAAGAACAATCCAAAAAAATAGACTTTATTGTCAAGCTTGGCACTAAACTTCTCTCACCATTTTTAAAACTGGTATTGTATTTCCTTACCATTAATTACAAGCTTTAACTATGTCAAACTAGGCTTCTCAAGCTTTCCAACGACATATTGTATGTCTCAATTGGAGTTGTATAACTCAGGTTATATCTTTCGCAATTCGACTGCTGCAAACTAGATTTTCAGAAACTAGGTAGTGTCTTTAAACTTAATCTACGATTAGTACACTTGTCTATTGACTCTTAAATTTTATAGGGTGATATCTCTATGTGTTAGCTTCACATAGGTCTATACTGCGCTCAATTTGGAGCTCTGTAGCCTAAGATATGGTCATTTTCCCGAACCATGTTTTTCCTCGCAAAAAGTATTCGAATACTTAATGAAAGTATTCGAGTCCTTTCTGAGCATAAGCTAAAAATACTCTATTTTACTGCATAATGGGGTACCAAACCCTTATACAAGTCCATGGCATCTCCAAATTGACATTTGTACATATTTCATGCTATTCTTAACCACGGGGGTACATATCCTAACTCATGTTATTCAAAATCCCAATCTTTAAACCCTAATCTCATGCATATTTTCCAAAAACACAAGAGGGAAGTTGAGTTATTACCTAGGGAGCTTCAATCAACCAAGTAGAAGACAATCCAAGCCTCTAATCACAAAAAATACTCCCTTCCCAAGCTTAGGTCCGAAAATGGTTTCTCACAATTTGGTTTCTCTCTTTCAAATACAATACCATTAGTTGGGAGGATGAACAAGTGTATAAAAAAGTGAAGATTTGTGGATGAAGCCAAAGGTTTGATGAAGCCAAATGAGAAGGGAAGAAGAAGAGCACTCCTTTGCTTGAAGAAGATTGTCCGAAGGGAAGAGAGCAGATAATAAGGGAAATTAAATATTTTTAGGTGCTTTAAGTTACTTAACTACTCCAAAATGAGTATAAATTTATCTATCCCGCTCAGATGTTTTACTTTGCTGCAATATGCCTTGCAACTTTTATGTTCATGTCTATTTTTTTAATGTTAAGGACTAAATAAGCCCTCGATAAATTTGTCAGGGACCAAATAGGGCCTTCAATCCTAAGGTCAGCTGTCAAAAACTCCAAAAAGACATAAAACGACGTCATATTACTTCTACGTTAGCATACTTAACGGTGACTCAGCAAAATAACGGTCCACATGTGCTCTGTTAGTTGGGCAGTCAGATGCCAATTAACGGAAGGACAAACGCGGCCCTTTTTTTCAAATATTAGAGACTAAAATGAACTTTTTTTTATTGTTCGGGACTAAAATGTATCTCGTACAAATTGTCACGAACGAAAGGGGTATTTACTCTAAAATAGATTATTTATTTTTTGTTTACTTTTCTTGCCAAATTTGTAGAGAGGCTTATTGTACGCCTGCTCGTTAGTAAGTGCCTGCACTCCTTGAGACTGAAGCTGCACAGTCCACCCTCTCTCTCTCTCTCTCTCTCTCTCTCTCTCTCTCTATTCAAGAGTGGTGCCTCCATCTTTCGCGTGCGCAAGGGAAAATCTGAGGTAGGGTTCCTTTCGCCTGTGTTTTCTTCCTTTTTCTACTTCTGATAAAATGCATTTTTTTTTATTTTTTTTATAAATCTGAAATTGGTCGCTAATAGTTAACCAAACTTTGGGTACTTCAACCATTTGACGCTTTCTGCTTGTTGTATGATTCAGTCTCTACTTGTTCGTTCCTGCATCCAGGTTTTGATAGGTTTTGATTCAATGTCTTTATTTACTATGTACGAGTGATCTTAGGTTATTAGGTGATTTTATTACTCGACCCTCACTCGTTAGCTAAATAGAAATGTGCTTATCTATTCCTCTATTTTTGAAATTTAGGCATAATTTGGATTCTTTGAATTACTAAATTGGTAGGCCAATGTAGTGTATTACAATAAAGCCAAGTCTTGATTTTTTTTCTTTCCACCACCCGTTTTCCCTACTTGTATTACAATATACTCCATAACATGATGAATTTTCTCTTTTATCCTGTTTTTTTTTCTAGTTATATTATATCCCACCACTGCTTTCTTTGGGTATCAAGATTTGAAAGCGAATGTGAAGCGAGAGCTTTGATTCTATTTGCTGAGAGCTTTCATTATGCTTCCCTTCCTGCTACATCCCTCTTTGGACAAGAATTATAGCCATGGAGAAATACATTCAGGATTTAAGATTTCAAATTAATTTTTTAGTGGCTTGAGTAAATTGAGATGAAAATGCTTTAGGTATCAAACAAAATCTGCAAAATTTCTCCTAAATTGTTACCAAATAATATAACAAATATTTATTATGTTTTACGTTTCACACTGTAATTTATATATTAACACACCGTTCATATCTAGCATTTAGAAAATGCTCTGGTACCATGAAAATGAGAGAAACAAAGAGAAAATATAAGAGGATGGAGGGAGGGAGAGAGAGAGAGAAAGGAGAAAGAGAGGTCTCTTTAGTGGTTCGGAATAGAATGAATGATTCTGTCTTGTGTGTACATATGAGTTCATCCTTTTATATAGGTATAACTGTCTCCAACAGTTATGTAGCTAACTGACAACTGTTATAACAGTTTACAACAGTTTAACAGATTCAGATACAGTGCTGACTCAGCACAGATACACAATGGACAGGTGTTGGAAATACGCAATACATAGTTGTAACATGTAGTTGTATACTCCAATACAAACAAAAATCTCAAACCCGCAGGCTGCCCTTATATACTTGGGGTTGGAAAACTACCTGCAGTTTGCTTTGTGTGTCTTTGTTAAGGATGTTGATTTTGTGTTCTTCAACCTGTGCTTCTTAGTTCTGGTCCATCTTCTCCCTCGCTCTGTACTGTTTACAGCTGTTGTTAATGGTGGATTTTGTTTGTTTATTTTGTTTTACACAATTTTACCGTAGATAATAATATACTGCTGAACTTGTTTAATTTGCAGTTAGTTGCATTTGTTCATTGGGCTGTTTTCTGTTATTTGAATTATGATTTTGTTAATTATTTTTCTTCCATATAGACTTGGTTATTTCATTTGAGTTGGAGATGTTGATTAAGAAAGTTAAGGATTTAACTCCTTTGAGGTTGAACTTTGAAGTTGCACTTTGTAACTTTGTTTTGTTTTTGTGTGTTTGTTTCTTCATTATTGAACTTGATATTGAAATATAGAACTTGGATTCTACTTGATATTAGATGATTGAACTTCATAATATCACATTTTGAATTTATCTCTTTTATTTGCCAGGTTTTCATCTCTGTACAAGTAAAATTGTAGATCTGATCCATTTGGTTTTGGGTTCAGAGTTGAAAGAGAAGATATGGCTGGGCAATCTGACCCTGAGCTCTCACTGTTTTCAGCGGAGGAGGTATGCTATTGCCATATCCTACTTTTCTCTACTCTTCGTAGTTGTCATTGTTTAAAAATTATTAATATATTATTATTATGGTTTTGCTTGTCTATCAGCTTGAGTTCATTGCTGAGGACGAAACCGTGGAAATCGTACCCAATCTCAAAATGGGTCCTCTCAATCTCATCTGTGTAAGCAATAACTCAAACACTTCATCACTAGTTCTTTTTCAGATACATATATATTACCTTTCTCTTTAATAACAATGGCAGGGAGATTTTGGCCCATTTACGCCACAGATTGTTACTCAAGTACCGCTGTGGCTGGCTATTGCTCTCAAGAAGAGAGGCAAGTGCTCCATTTGCCCTCCCGAATGGATGTCTGTTGGTGAGCTTCCTTTCTTTCTTATTTTTCACCCCAATCTGATAATGGCAATGTTTTGGTTGCGGACAAACCCTTGCATTAGAGGTGGTCAACTCAATTATCATGAGACAAAAGGAGAAAGGGGAAGGATATTTGAAGAATGCGTTTACAATTTAATTTTTGTTTCAAAAACTTCATGTTATAATGTTTCTATTTTCTCAGTGCCCGACAATTGCTAGCTTTATTAAATGCTATTTTGGGGTTTAGGTAGTCAATTATTTGTTTTAATATTGCTTGTTATTGCTTATGATGTGGTTTATGATGTGAATCACTTTTTCTTTAAAAAGTTTCCAGTTGCTTTGGTTTTGATCTATTGCTAGTTTAAATTTTTTTGCGATTATGGTTTTATTTTAGGGTAAAAGTAACAAGAAATAATGACTAAGAGTCTGTTTGCCACCTCTTTGTTTTAAGCTAAAAGCTATTTTTAAGCTTAAGTTAAGAAAAAAAGGAGAGCTCAAAAAATAAAGCTAAAAGTTGTTATGTGATCATTTAAAGTCTGGTGTGAGGGTTTTGAAGGAGGGAAGATGAAATAATTTGTTATTAGGATGAATTATTAGTGTAAAGAGTAATACTGGTAAATACAAATTTAGAATAAGGATAAAACTGAAAAATAAATATGAAAACTTTAAAAAGCCATTATATATCTTAGAAAAAGCTCCTTTGGGAGCTTTTAGCTTTTGCACTTTTTATTCATTGTAACAAACAGCTCTTTTTATAAAAAAAGTTTTTGTGAAAACATGTTTGGCTAAGCTTCTGCTTATAAAGAGGAGAAAAGCTAAAAATAAGACTTCCCAAACAGGCACTAAATATTACTCCAACACCTTTGTTTGTGACTAGAGAAGTTGACTAAAGTTCTGGAGGCAGAGCGAGACTCTCAAGAGATGTCGGGGGAATTGCCCTTTCATTATGTAGAAATCTCAAGACTTCTTTTTGATCAGTAAGTCTAGAGACAACTTATTCTATTAGATACTGCTGTTTTGTTATATTAACTCATATTATTTTGATTTTTAGTGCACGTGACAACATTCCTGATGTATACATGGTGAGTTTAAAGAAGTTTCACATTCTAGAAATATGCACCAGGCTTTTCTTCTGATGCTTTGACTTATATATTCTGTACAGGTGAGGTCTCTGATTGAGGACATCAGAAATGTACGGTTTCATAAAGTTGAGACTGACTTGGAGGCATTTAATGGTCGTACAATTGCTGTTAAGGTAAATTCTCAAATTTTTTGGGGGTATTTATTTGTACAAGTGTGGAATGCAGCTCTGATTATAAAGTATATATATATTTTTTATTGATTTATTTTTTATCTCCTGACAGAACCTTATTAGTGTACCATTACGGTTTCAGTTACTGCAGTGATGCTTTCCTGTTTACTGATAGCATTTAGAATTTTTTAATCCCAAAAGATCATTTTAAATTCTTTTACAAAACACATGTCAAGTTAAACTTGATTTTTGTCCATATTGGAAGGTAGGTATATAGCAATTCTGTCTGACGGTAACTGACCAACAACTTACATGATTATTTCCTCTCATCTCTCATTTATCCTCCTGTTACTGGAGTTGTTTACTAAATTTGAGAAAACAAAAACTGGAAGATTAAGAAAGATGTGAACAAAACAATTTTGTTATTAGCAGAGCACAAGAATCAAATCTTCTGCATCCAGGATGGATTTTAGATTTTGAATCTTAATTTTGTTTTATGCTACATGTCTCTTCCATATTAGGACATTTGTAAACTCAATGCAAGCCACCAAACAAGTCAATTTTTTCCATCATAGCAGGCAACTTTGTTAAAGCTGCTCCTTTGTGATCGAAAGGTCATAGGTTCGAATTTGGGAAATAGCCTCTTTGCAAAAATGTAAGGATAAAGTTGTGTACAAGGATGCTCTCACTCCTAACTTTGGTAGTCGGGGTTTAATGGGGAATGATTATTATAGAAGGCAACTTTGTGATATAATTGATGTCAAATACTGCATTCTACTTAAGAGAGGCTTATAATCATCTCCACAATCATAAAATTTAAGCTTAAAATAGAGAATGGAGAGAGATTAGTATGTTGGTTTTCTCACACTTGATTTTTAATTATTGCATTGAGAATTGGATGCATTCAGCTTTGTTAAGCATTTTTTGCAGTTTTAGAGGTTTTGGTATGGGAGGGAGAGAAAAGCGTAATGGAGAACCTGAACCAGTGGTCTCATTACATGTTTATTTATTTCTCTGCTAACAATGCACACCATAATTCCTGGTATATTGCAGATCAAAAATTTATCTGCAATGGAAGTGAATATTGTTCGCCCATTTATTGGAAGAGCTTTACAGGCATTTTATAAGCTTGATAGTCCAGAGTTGATACCAGACCCAGAGAGAGTTTCTGACAGACGGCCACAAGTTGTCAACAATGCCCCAAGAGTATGTTTGATATACACCTAGAAATGTTTTCTGACTAAAAAATATATGTTTTCTATGCATTTATTTATTTATTGGTATTACATTATTTTGTTTTCGCTTGTGATGATGACATGACAATTTCTGCAAAGCTATATATACCCTTTTACTGCGCTATTCATTTTTTATATCATTAATAAAAATTCAATGTAACTAATTTATTATAGAAAAGAAATGTTTTGGTCTGTCGTATGTATTCTCTTTTTTCCAAGGAAAGGGTTTTCATGCAACTGATATTTGCTTTTGCAGAGGCAACTACGAAGATAACTTTTTTGGTAACATCTCTTCTACTAGAATCGTAACTAATATCTGGCTGGCTTCAGAGGTACAACTTTCCTGAGAAGTACATCACAGATATCTTCGCCGCTGAATTCATTGTAAAAGGGTAGCTTGAGACTTTAGTTGAATCTTCAGAAAGCAATGTTGCTCTCTCTAAATTTTCTCATTCTTGTTTGTTAAGAATTCAAAATAAAAAAAGAAAAAGAAGAATTTCATGGGGATTAACATAGTTACGCCCTTTCTACTTGTATGTAGTTAATTCTATTACTAAAGTATTTGATGTCAGCCTTGTGCTTGTTACTTGTGGTTCGCTCTTTAGATTACCTTGATTCTAATTAGAAATTAAAATGGTCGAGAAGGAAATATGAATGACTGGTGGTTGTGGACATTTAAAATATCAACCATAATTTTGATGTGGCACTTTAAGGTATATGGACATGTTGCCTGACATGTGGTTAAATATATGCAACAAGACAAAGACAATACAAAGTAGAAGGTATATTCAGTGAGATTGTGACCATTTCCGTAGATTGGAATGTATATGTTGAAAGCGATTCTGTTGTTGGCAAATAGGTCATGGACTAGGTTTCTTTCTTTATCATTTCAAATCCTATAATTACTAAGTGCCTATTCCTTAATGGTTTGAAGTTTGAACGAGTTCGTGCTGAGAAGTTAATGATGTACTGTGTACTGTTTTAATTGTTGAGCACTGAATCTATATCACTTGATTTAGTGTATTACATTGTTAACAACATAAAGCTTTGATCCTATAGCCTTCAGGCTAGCATTGTGTCCTAACTCAGAACTGCTTGGGGTCTCCTACGCCAACTCCTATCCTTGTCACTTCTCCTAGGAACTAATTGCATGCTCCCTGAAGTACCAAAATATAAAACAAACGCTTTCATTTCGATACTGATACTTAAGAACAAAACAAGTATATGAAATGCACTCTATTTAGAACATGACTTTACTGAATTGATTCAAAACCTTCAAACTCCTGAGTTTGTGCTAGAAATTTAATCAAGAATGTGGCGTGTTTCGAGCATTCAAATTGTGTTGAAACTCCCTTATTTATCAGCATAGCAATTCACTTCATGTCTGTGTGTGTGTTGCGGTACAACAATTACATTTGGTTCAATTCTTATACCTCTTGGTGGAAAAAGTTACGTGGACCGAGTCCTACAAGAGTGAAGGTGTTTATGTGAAGAGTATCAGGCCATCTTCCAGCTAGGCAAAGGATGTTGTATTAAAGGGTACATGAAAAAGGGACTTAGAACAAAAAAAAAATTATTAATTTTTTTTTTCTTGTCACTTAAAATATTAAGATATTAATTATTCTTTTTGTCAATTTTATTTATGTTTCTTAATAACTCTCCTAAATAGAACAAGAACAACATTAGCAAAGTAATAATGTTTTGAGTATTTTAATATAAAATATTTTAATCAAATATAATTATATTTTTTTAAATCAATATTATTTAATAAAAATTTTAGTTTACACGTAACAACCTTAAACTATATATATATGGGTCAGGATCATTTTACACCAGTGTAAGTTACACTCTCAATCTTGTCCATTGATCCCACTTATATCCAAAGGCTCTAATTTTTTTAGTAATGTGAGCTATTGGATACAAGTGGATCAATGGTCAAGATTGAGTGTAAGACTTCTAACTCTTACACCAGTGTAAGAATATCCTGCCCTTATATATATATATATATGAGGATATTGTAACAACCAATTAGTGTTACTACCAATCAATTTCACCGTTAGATCGATTATGTTGATCTAACAGTTATATTTATTTTCATCTTTGTATGGTTATGATTTCTCATATTTAATGTGAAAGCATTAAATATGAAAAATTATAACTATACAAAGGTAAAAATAAATATAAAGTATTAAATATGATGAATCATAACCATACAAAGATGAAAATAAATATAACTGTTGGATCAACATAATCGATCTAACGGTGAAATTGATTGATAGTAACATTGGTAGTAACACTAATTAGTTGTTACAATATCCTTCCCCATGTATTTATACATGGCCTTAAATTTTTATGGAATAGGATATTGTAACAACTAATTAGTGTTATTACCAATGTTACTACCTATCAATTTCACCGTCAGATCGATTATGTTGATCCAATGGTTATATTTATTTTTATCTTTGTATGGTTATGATTCCTCATGTCAATTAGCATTACTATCAATGTCACTATCGGTTTGTTTTACCGTTAGATCCATTATATTGATCAAACGGTTCTGATTTAACTTTCTAAAAAATTTCTTTTTTCTTTCTATATTTAATTTTTTATATTTATTTTTACTTTTCTATGGTTATGATTTCTCATATATCTCATATTAAATATAGGAAATCATAATCATATAAAGGTGAAAATAAATATAATCATTGGATCAACATTCAACATAATCGATCTAACTATAAAAAATAAATTGGTAATAATATTAAAGTAACACTAATTGATACTATCAATATCCTATATCTTTTAATTTTATTTTATTTTATTTTTAAAAAAAAATACTGAACTAGCTAAATAGGCTGCTATTCAAATAACTCAACTTATTATTTTGGTGGGATAAATTGGGTTGGTTCCATTTTGAAATCGAAAGATCTCACCCATCAGGCCGAGCCACCACGAACCAACCTCCGCCACAACTCTTTCTTCGGGAAACACCATGGTGAGTCCCTAATCTCCTTTTCTTATTTTCAGCAATTCATTCAATTTCATGCCCAAAAACCTCTGCGTTTTTTTTTTTGTTCTGTATCTTTCTTTTTCTCCTTTTTTAAATTTAGACTGTTATTATAGCGGCATATCTGGATTTTGCTCCTTGTTAGAATGCTTTTTTTCATTTTTGTTTCTGTGATTTCCTGTATTGAGTTCAATTTTTAGTTTTATTTCATTCAAACATGATGAAACTCCCAAAAAATGGAAAACTTAACTTACATAGCTGTATTAGGGTTCAATATATATGGCTATATAAATTGTGCGGTCATATCATATTTTCCTTAGTTTGCTCACATAAGTAATAGTTTAGGTGGTGTAAGATGCCAGCTCTCAATGACAAGTTGCTCAAAGACTCGGTGCTAATTTTTTTCTGTGTGATTATATTATGAAGCAGAATTCAGTTCCTAATTATCACCACCTATGGCCCTTTTCATGACCATGGTTCTTTCGAAATTTACTGAAGCCATCCCCAATGCAGTCAATGTTTTGTGCCGCTCTCCGTGATACCTCTTGCATATGTTGTCGGGTTCTTGTTTCTAGAAATTTTTGTTCTTCATTGGCATCTTGTCACCTCTTAGGAACTAGGGAATTTTTGAATAAAGAACAATGTCAAGAACTTGCAAAATCTGTTAATATTCTTGCTGCAAGAGTTGGCAAAGGACGCAGCGAGGAAGAAATTCTTCAGTCTTTATTCAATGATCAAGATTATGAGGGTATACATCTGTCTCAGAAGCTTGTTTATAGTTTGCTCCATCGATTTAAGGATGATTGGAAGTCTGCACTGGGAATATTCAAATGGGCCGGTTCGCGTTCAAGCTTCAAACACTCGCCCGAATCATATGATATGATGGTAGATATATTGGGTAAAATGAAGCAAATGGAGAAGTTGAGAGATTTCTTAGAAGAAATGTGTCAGGGTAGCGGTGTCATCACTCTCAATACTGTAGCCAAGGTGATGAGAAGGTTTGCTGGGGCAGGACAGTGGGCAGATGCTGTAAGAATATTTGATGACTTACAAACTCTTGGGTTGGAGAAGAACACGGAATCCATGAACTTGTTGCTTGATACCCTATGCAAAGAGAGATTTGTTGAGCAAGCTCGTGAAATTTTCTTGGAGTTGAAGCAGCACATTGCTCCAAATGCTCACACATTTAACATATTCATTCATGGATGGTGCAAAATCCGTCGCGTAGATGAGGCACATTGGACAATCCAAGAGATGAAAGGATATGGTTGTCGCCCTTGTGTTATAAGTTATTCCACCATCATTCAATGTTATTGTCAAGAACAGAATTTTAACAGGGTCTATGAGCTTCTTGATGACATGCAAGCTCAAGATTGCTCTGCAAATGTGGTCACTTTTACTACCATCATGAGTGCACTAGCAAAGGCTGGAAAATTTGAGGAAGCTTTGCAAGTTGTTGAGAGAATGAGGTCTAATGGATGTAGGCCTGATACACTTTTCTACAATTCATTCATTTATACATTAGGTAGAGCAGGCAGAATAGATAACGCTACCTATGTTTTTAAAGTGGAGATGCCTAAGGCTGGTGTTGCCCCAAATGCATCCACCTATAATTCAATGATTTCTATGTATTGTCATTATGCACAAGAAAACAGAGCTTTTGACATACTGAAGGAGATGGAAGATTCAGGCCTTTCTAAGCCTGATGTTCAGACTTACCACCCATTGATCAAGTCATGCTTTAAAACTGGAAAAATAGATACTTGGTTAAATGATATATTAAATGGAATGGTTAATAAACATCATATTGGTCTTGATGTTTCAACCTATACTTTGCTAATTCACGGGCTTTGTAGAGCAGATAGATGCAAGTGGGCTTACTCTCTGTTTGAGGAGATGATTGATCAAGATATTGTGCCTAGATACAGAACTTGCCGTTTGCTATTGGAAGAAATCAAACAGAAAAATATGTATCAAGCTGCTGAAAAAATTGAGGATCTTATGAAGAAACTGTAAATGCAAAGTCTTTATTTGTGCGGCCTCACTATCTTCTTGTACATTATTTTAACCAGTTAATTCGAATTTTTTATTAAAAAAAAAAAAAAAAATTGATGCCGCTTGAGTTTACTTTTTTCGTGTTCACCCATTACGGAATTATATACCACAGTATCACAACAGATATGAAACTGCAACATTAGTGCATCAATTGGGCATGTACCTAGCTTGTTAATGCTAAAGAGTATTCAAATCCAAAACTCAGCAACCAATAATTACAAATCTGCATTCTTGTGTATATCCTTAGGCACTAATGTATGCTGATGTTTAGGTATGATTGTTTGGTGGCTGACTCTACCGCAAATAATCCAGATTAACCAATACAACTGGTAGGTATCATAGTCACTATTACACTATCTTAAGAGACCAAAATTTGCTTCAAACATCTCCTTGCTGAATTAGAAGATACCTTTGCATATCTGGAATGGTTGTCCCTAAAACTTTTTCAGATTATAATTAAGTAAAATATGATAATTAGCACATTGATCTTCCTCGTGTTGTTGTGAAGTATACATTTATGAAACTAATTTATAGCACATAGTGACTGCTTTTTTGAAACTTGAAAGCTTGTGACACGCTTTCCATTTTTTGAGATTGAGTTTCTTGCCCTTTGAGCCTATGAAGAAGATTTGGGTACTCGCAAATTGAATGCAAGTAATGCTGAATACCAAGTTTTGTCTTGAGATCCACCATGGACGAGTAATTGGACTGTAAGGAAATGTCGTCTTGTTGTGATCAAAATGAACTAGTTTGCCTCCGCAACAATATAAAAGAAACAGCAAGAAAATTTGAATAAATTCTCATCCAACAACCGACATTTGTGTTGTGTGAGATGCATTACTTGCAAGAAAACTTTCTTGCTATCATTTGAGTTCAAAACCCAAACTCAAGTCTTTATTCAACTAAAAATGTTCAATTGCTAGTTATGGAATACGTCTTTTCATGTGACATTCTCACTTGTCAAGTTCATATGTAGATTTTGTGTTTATTTCCCTCTTCGTAAACATTAAATATGCTAATTCTATTAAAATTTGTGAATATTTATAATAGGAGAATACACAAAATTTTGACATGATCTTGTCATGTAAAAATTTTACATGGTGTTCGGTCCTGGATAGACCGTATTGCTATACCGTAAGGTATGCGCTCAGAGATAGTGTATATCAAGTGTATACTAGGCTTACAGCCGAGGTCCCAATCACTGCGCACAAGCAATAGGCTTATAGCCAAGGGGTGGGTGTGTGCACAGTGTGGGCAGAAGTAATAAATGAGTTCTGAGTGTTTACCTGGGGTCCTTAGGCTCTTATTTATAGGATTACCTTCCTAGGCTTGTGCCTTTTGAGATCCCCCAATCGTAGTAGGATTCAACCTCCTTCTGTTGGGATGTGATCCTTATCTTATATCCTTTGGCTGTTTGGAGTTGTTGAGATGTTGCTGATTCCATATCTCACCAGATATTCTAGTAGGTAGTTGGGATATGATATTCATATCCATAACACATGGGAAGATCTATTCCGTGCTAGTTACAAGCTATAGACCGGTCAGGATAAAGCCGGGCTTCCTAGTAGAAACATGATACTAGGTTTAGGATAATGTCCTTAATCATTATTGATTAAGAAACTTGTTAAAGAACTTGATGAATCTTCTTGGCAATAGGTTTTTAAAATACTCCTTCCACCAACGTATTTAAATCAAACCCTTCAAACAAAAAGATAAACTAAATGGGTTATATACTTTTTCTGTCACTGGAGATGAGAAAAAGTGCAGCAACACTTATTTTTATCAGGATACGCGTCCGGATCCTGATGTGTATTTTTTTTTTTTAGGCCAGGATACGACCTCGTATCCTAGTATTAATAATTTGCTGCAACTTTTCTCATCAGCAGCAAAAGGAGAAACGACGAACCCAAACTAAATATGCTAAAAATTTTAACACCAACGTATTTAAAATAATTGTATACAACTAATTTTTAAGATGAAGTTATAACTGAAGATTGATTATGAAACAAAAATCTCATTGCTTATTGATAAAGCATAGCTTCTGTTTATGTGTACATGCTTTCAAATTCATATTGCAACTTGGCACTTTACAAGGATATGTTGAAGATATTATCATCTTCAATATTGTTAATAGGAGTCAAGCTTTTCCATTAGCCGCTATTGCAGGACTAGTCTTCCTCCTCCTCTCACTAAAGCTACGACAAGAAGCCAAGCTTGGAAGGCAACGCTGCACAGACTTAACTGATTTCTCTCTAATGGATGCATGATCATCATTCATGGTTCTTTCACTACTACATGCAGAGTTTCCACCTGAGATATAAGGAGTACTGTGTGCTGATTTAGGAAGAAGTTCATGTATGGTTGGTTTAACTTCTTTCTTTTCATTGCCTGAAGTGTTTCCAACATCATCATTTTTGTCTTCTCTGACACTTTCTCGAAAAAGCTCCAACAGTTTCTTTTTCTTTTCTGTTGGAGATGTTTCAGGCACAACAGAACCAGGAGTTATATTTTCAGAAGGGGTTTTCACAATAGGGGTACCAAAAGTATGGTGCAATGGAGTGGATCCACGAGATGGGGTGAAATCTGGATAAAACAAAGATTCATAAGTTGATTAGAGGGAGAAGAGTCATGGTTTAACATTGAAAAGAGAGAAACTATAGCAAAAGGAGAAAATATCCACAGGTTCTAACAAGAGTTCTACATTCTTCGTAAACATCAACATCAATATCAACTTTATCCCAAACTAATTGCAGTTAGCGTAATCAGCGTGGAGCATTGATAAAGCTACTCTTTTGTGATATTATAAATCATAAGCCTTTCATCCAAGACAAATTTGTGTTTCCTTGTAATTCTACCCTCTACAAATTATTAACTACGCAAAGTTTCACCTCCTGCTCATTGTTAAAGAATATGATCTTACAAAATGGCCAAGTAAACAAATTAAGATACTCTGGCACAAAACTACAAAAAGGAAAAAATCATTGCAAGGCATCCTTACCACCCTTGACACTGTAGAAATCATCTTCACAATCTGAGTCTAACCAATTCTTCGAATCAAAAAATGCTTCCTCTTTGCTACCTGTACAGGACAAAAATCCAAGTCCAAAACATCATGTATGAAAAACTATGTCATATGAATATTACCAAAAAATAATAAATATGACATATGAAGGGCTGGCTTGGATTTCATCAAATGAACTAACGAAGAAACGAAAAAACATTTATTGCAACCAATGGAATGATAATTTAGCTTCTTGATTCTTGGACGTTACAAGTAAGAAGAGGGTAAAGACAGAAACTCTTATTCCAGATCACTTCATCTATTGACAAGTAATTCATAAGGACAAAAGCAGTCACTTCACATAAGCAACGAAATTTAGAACAAGTCAGAAAAGACAGATTATAGTGTTTGAACATTTCTCTTATTTCCTATAGGAAAGCATAATTAGAGTTATAATGGACAGCCAACACAATTTTATCTTAATCTCTGTCATTAAATAGCAAAGTTTCCTTCACCCAATTTCAAGATAATGAAAGCTCTTCGATTCTTCCTTAATAATAACTATCACGTGAATATCCCATTGTGGTCCATAAGTAGAAGTAGACAACAAGCATTCACAATTCCCTCTTGAGAATTCTTATTCAAAGATAGATGAGAATGGTGCTACATTACTGGTCCCCAAAAAGCTCCATAAGGCAGGGACCATAGTAACTTATAAGCATCTACCAGACTACCACCAATAACAGTTAATACAATAACTGACACAAAAGCCTCCATCACATGAAAGTAAAATCACAAGTAGCATTCAAAGCAAGGTGCATAGTATTCTACTATCTGTGTCCTGCACACACAGTTCTATTCTGCAAATATTGTTGGTGAATGATAAACCTAACCCTTCACCCGGATAAGATATGGTAAGACATATCGAGCTTATCTAAACCTCTTTAATGCCCCCCAACCAGCACAAAGAGAGAGAGTGTTTAATTAGTGAAACAAGAGCTTCAAGGAGACACAGGGCTTTATTTTGCCATATTTTATAACATATCGTTTATATAATGGATTCCTTGCTTAAAAATTACTCTACTAGAAAATTCATATAGATAAAAATTACAATCAAAGTCAGTTACAAAGGAAAGATATGGAAGAAGGAGGAAGCATTCCCAGTGTTATAATAAAATCAAACAAATAACTAGACAACAAATTCACCCCTCTAAAATTAGTCATAAACATGATGTATCCACAATTCAATAAGCTAATAATCATTGAGGCTTATCCGTTCTAATAATTTATGGTGTCCATACTATCCCTTTCAATTTCTACAATATAGGCTACATTATCAGACAATTCTTTATAATTCTGGGAAAAATATCCTACCCCCAAATAGACAAAAAAATCATAGACTGTGTACCCGGAAAGAAAATTCAACTTCATGTTCATATTCATATGCAATAAAAAAGCATCACGGAACTGAAGAGGCAATCACAGCATACTTGCAAAAAATAGGTGTTGTCAAAGGGAGTAGAAATGAACCCAGGAACTCTGTGTGTATTATTACATAATATAATCATATATAAGTACAACAAATTTAATATATAAATTAGTTTAGATCAATCTAATAGAAAGATAAACCATTACAAGAAAATCTAATTTTAAACAACCAAAAAAAAATAAAAAAATCAAGCATATAGAATTTCAGATAAACAAATCTTCAGAGACCCCACAACACTTGAGATCACACGTTCAAAGAAAAATCACAGAAACGTTGACACAAGTGCTTAGTTTCAGTTCTGATAAGAAATATATCAATCAAAATAGCATCTTTATGTCAGGAGGATGAAAAACAAAAGCAGAGGAAACAAGCACTGAGCATGTAATGATGATGATGATGCATAAGAAAATTAAAAAAAATAAATAAAAAGTTTTGAAGCAACGTACAAACACAAAAGGACAGTACCATTATTACCATAGTCAGTGACCGTGAAGGTGTGAGATTTAAGGGCAAGATCATCAAGCAAAAAGTTTCCATTTTTGGGTTTGTCCTTGATGGGTGATGGAGGAATCACAAGCTTGTCAGTTTTGGACCCAAATGAAAGACTGAGATGATGCTTCATGTTCGTTGTTTCCTGGTTTCTGTGGACAGAAGAACACAAACCCATTTCACAAAATCACTTTTTGATCATCAAGGTTCAAGGACCCTGCAGAAATATATACATATATATATATAAGAAGAGTTCACGCTATGCACTGCACATAAGAGAGAGAGAGAGAGAGAGAGAGAGAGTAGAGTGGAAGTGAGAGAGAAGAGAGGTGAAGAATGAGCAAAAGGAGGAGAGAAGAGGGTGTTTTGGCGTTATAGCAAAGGTGAGAACAAAATTGCGTTGGTAAGAAAAGTAAAACGTCCAATGGGAGAAGAAGAAGAAGAAAGATTGAAACTTGAAAGTAAGAGAGAATTGGCCTTTAAAGGAAAGGGATGTCAAATGTTCAACGTTTGTGTGTGGTGTCTCATCTCATGACTCACTCCTCACTACTCATGACTGTTATGTTATACTGTATACTGTATACTGTATCGTATGTAGATTCTCAGGGATGGTCCCCACAGCCTCATATTCATTAATGCTTTCTTTGTTTGAAATTGGATGGGTCTAAACTCTAAAGCGTGATTAGTGACTATTTATTAAGATATATTGAACCAAACTCCTTTGACACACATGGTGAGGAGTCTGAGTCCCTTAACCAGAGGTCTTGAATTCAAGTTCTAAAAATGAAAAAAAGAATTTGGGAGAGCTGCCCTCGAAAGGGTCTGACAATGCTCGATTGAGGATTAGTCTTCGGTTACGGTCAGAAAATACCCCTCAGATTATTGGAAAAAAAAAACTAAGATATATTGAAAATTGGAAAGACAAAGAATCATTTTACCATTTAGTGAACTAATTTCGTAATTTAATTAAGGTACATACATATGTTAAATAATTTGAGGAAATAAAGGAGTTTCACATTTTGAATTTGGTGTAAGACTTAGAACTCTTATTCATAATTATAACTATTGATTTTTGTCCCTTCAATAGTTATAGTTTATTGATTTATTCTAATTAATTATTAATTTTAAATAAATGACAATCATTAGATAAACAGAAATAAACAAAAATCAATGGTTAGTATAGGGAATAAAACTTTTAAATCTTATACCAAAATCAAAAGATTCCTCCCCGGAAATAAATCTTCTTATATTGTAACTTATCTATGTAATTCAATATTCAGATCTCATTTTATAATCCAAACTTCAACCATATCGATCAAGATGCTCACAATCAGGCTTGAAAAGTATGTGAAAATTCCTTTTCAAACTTATTTGCTTGTCATGATATTGTTATAGTATATAAGTAGTGGTAATTTTTTTATACCAAACAGTATTTTTAGGTTGGTGTCTTACCATCTTTCTTAGAAATTGTGACTTTTATGATTGAACATATTACTTTTTAAGCAAGTCAAATCCTGATATTTAATTGGGTTGTCATTGGATCAATAATTCTTAAGTAAATAACATATTAATGGTATTATAATATGTTGGAAACTTGGAATTAATTAGTTTATTGTAAAATAAAAATAATTATTTATACATTTTAAGAAAGAGTTTCAAGAGAAAAATAATAAAATAGTTTATTCCCAAACACACTACTAAATTACTAAAGACTAATATTCTTGTGTAGCAAAAGTAGAGCACCAGCGAAATTATTATGTAAAAACCTTGCATTAGAGCCCCAAATGTCCAGTCTTACCCCTTTAGAACAAGAACTGTGACGTGAAGTTGCATACATAAAAAGGAGAAAATGGGAATAGTCAAATAGAGGCAGCTACATCGGAGTCAGCAATTTTTGCTTGGTGCAGCCACAAGCACAGAAACAAGTAGTATTAGATTACGTAACATGCATTCATCATGTGGAAATAATGTGCAGAGTTCTATAATATATATTATATAGTACAGATTCTAAATGGAATTCCCATTTCTCTCTCGTCATGGATTTACACTACTTTGAATCCATTCCATTCCTCCACTTTGAATATTGTGCTTTACAACCTTTCTTGTTGGTTATATATATATCGGTTTCGATTTTTTCATCCCGAGAAGAAATTTTTTTCATGTTGTAGACATATCTTATGTGGAGTCTACATCTATTAAAAAAATAAAAAGGTAAAAAAAAATATTGTACGAAAATCGAAGGATCACTAGTAGGAGAAAACAACTCTCCTATGACATGAGAAAATATTTTTTCTCTATATATATATATATGGAAAAAATGTGTGTCATTTTAAAGGATGTAAAGTTGTATCATTTTAAGAGAGAGAAAGAGATAAATAAAGGAGGAGAAAGAGTTGACAAAAAAAAAGTGTAGGTCCCACCTCTTTGTGAGAGTAAAAGGATATAAGTTGTGTCATTTAAAAGGATAAACATTTTTCCCTATATATATATATATATGTATGTATGTATATAGGGAAATACATTTGTCATGTTACATGGCAAATGAATAGTTGTTATGTTAAGAAAAAGACAAGTTAAATTTATTGAATAATGTGCCCTTTCACTTTTTTAATATTATCTAATTTGTCATTTTCTTAACATAACAACTATTCATTTGTCATGTAACATGACAAATGCATTTCCCATATATATATATATATATATATATATATATATATATATATATATATATATATATATATATATATATATATATATAGCTTATCGTTTCTCAAGCTGCTTGAGATAACTTTATCTCCGTCCACTAAATCATAACCGTACAAAGTTGAATTAACGGTAATAAAGGAAGAGAGAGAAAAAGAAAATCATAACCATTCAAAGGTGAATCAATAAATATAAGAAAAATAAATAAACAAAACGATGTAGTTTTGGGCTAGCCGAAAAATAAATATATCTCAAGCAACTTGAGAAATATTTTTCTTATATATATATATATATATATATATATATATATATATATATATGAAAGATAGGATTCTTTGACACCAGTGTCAAATTTAAAATTTGACACCTCATCTGAGAGCTATTAGATCAAAAAAGATCAACGACTCTTAGATGAGGTGCCAAATTTCAAATTTGACACTGGTGTCAAAGGATCCTGTGTTACGGAATTATCAGTTAGGGAGAAGAGTATCAGAGTGAAAGGATGTCCATCTTGGGCTGTAGACTATGTAAAGTAGGAATATGTTGAAATTGTGTAAAAGGAGAATACGATTGTTGTTGTATATGTGTGAGTAGTTAGTTGTATACCCGAGTGACTAAGCTCGTTAGGACTCTTATTGTAGAGCCACGTTGGCTAACTAACATTCTTGTTAAATACCCCACCTTGGGTATGTGTTGAGCATGCAAATAATAAGATAGTTCTTGAGTTTTTTCTCTTTAAGGGTACGCGTCCCTTATCAACTGGTGCTTTCATTCGGTGGATTCACGACGGCAACATGCGGGTTCAAGAAGTTGTTGATGATTTGACACAGTATAAGGAAGACAGTAATCGGCGTTTTGAGCAGATGTTGGAGTTGATCGATAAGCGTTTTCAGATGATGGAGACTTCGTTTCGCGAGATGATGATCCAAGCGTCGAAAGCGAATTCTGAGACACATTCTCCGGAGAGTTCGTCTCAACCTCATCGTGTTGTTCATCAACATGCGTTGCATGTGGATGATTCTCGTTCGGTTTTAAAGTTTGTTAAAACTGAAATTCCCAAATTTGATGGGAAGGAACCTAATACATGGATTTTTCAGACATCATTATTCTTCAAGATACATCAAGTTCCAGAGAATTTGAAAGTAGAGTTGGCTGGCCTGCGTATGGATGGAGCAGCAGCAGATTGGTATCAATGGGTTTTTCGGAGCGGCATCATCAATTCTTGGGAAGAGTTTAAGGTTGCTGTTGGCCAGAGATTTGGTCCATCTCAGTATAAAGATGTTCGTGGTGTGCTCTCCAAATTGTTGCAGACTGGATGCTTGAAGGATTACATGGCAGATTTCCAAAAGCTCATGAATCAGGTATCTAATATTAGTGATGATTTGTTGATGACGTTTTTCATTTCGGGTTTACAAGCTGATCTTCAAGGGGCTGTTCAATTGAGAGGGCCTTCTTCACTCCATAATGCTATGCAATTGGCAATTGCATATGACAGTCACCATGTGGAATTGCGTTCGTCAGTTTCTAATATTCTGAAGAAACCTTTTTATCGTTCTCATTCCACAGGAACGATGGAAAAACCATCACATAGTGCACAATTGGCTTTACCTGCTTCTACCACTTTACCTGTCAAGAAACTATCTCCAGAAGAGTTGCAAAAAAAAAAAGATTTGGGTATTTGTTATACATGTGATGCCAAGTGGAATACAAAACATCGTTGTCCAGCAAAGATGTTGATTTTAATAGGAGAACCTGAGGATTCAGATGTAGAATTAGAGGAGGAGATTGTTTGGGGAAAAACAGAACCAGAGGGAATTAGGACTGATGCTGCCTTGCATTCTTTTTCGGGTCATGATGCTAAGTCTTTAGTATTATTGGCATTTGTGAAGGGGAAGGAAGTGCAGGTACTTATTGATTCAGGCAGTTCCCATAATTTCATTAATAGGGAATTAGCTGAAGCAATGCAGTTACCAATGGTGAAGTCTTCTAGGATGAGGGTTTTTATGGGAAATGGGGATTTCCTACTGTGTGAAAAGAAATGTCCTCAAGTGCCTTTGCTCATTCAAAGTCATGTTTTTCACACTGATTTGCATGTTGTGGATTTAACTGATTTAAGTATCATTTTAGGAATGCAGTGGCTTGTTACTTTGGGTCGTGTCACTCACAATTATGGTGACCTTTCCATGGAGTTTTCTTGGCAGAATGAAATGGTGTTGTTACAAGGTGTTCATTCTCACATAGAATCAGTTCCAGCAAGCAAGGGGGAAGCTGTCTGTAATACATTGACCTTGCAAAGGTCAGTAGCAGGAGACACTGAGGTACACTCTGATTTCTTATTATTGAAAAATAAGGTTCCTGCTGCATTGTGGAACATCTTGGTGTGCTGTCAAAGGGTATTTGATATACCGAAATCCTTACCTCCTTTTCGAGACTTAGATCATGCTATTCATTTAGTTGATGAGTCCAAGACTGTTAAGGTTAAACCTTATAGATATCCACATCATCATAAGTCTGAGATAGAAAGACAAGTTGTTGATTTACTTGCATCTGGTTGGATCCAACAAAGCCATAGTGCTTTTTCATCACCTGTCTTATTAGTTAAGAAACAAGACAATACTTGGAGGATGTGTATTGATTATCGTGCTTTGAATGCAATGACAGTTAAGGATGCTTTTCCTATTCCAACCATTGATGAATTACTTGATGAATTGTTTGATGCAAAAGTATTTAGCAAATTGGATTTACGTTCAGGGTATCATCAAATCAGAATGAGAAGTGAAGATATTCATAAAACAGCTTTTAGGACACATGAAGGACATTATGAATTCAAGGTAATGCCCT